GAAGGGGGTCAGGATAAGGATTTGGGATGGGACGAGGGAAAGGAATGGTGCCCAACCACCTGGACGGTCGGGGATTGAACGCCGACCTGCAGGACACGAGACCGTCGCTCTACCGTCCAGCCCAAGAGGTTGGGTAGTTGAGGTGGCTTCCACAACTTATTCTTTCAGTGCATTCCTCTTGTTAACTACCCGACCGTACAGGGTACGTGTATATCCTTACATTCCTTAGGTTCATTTGCGTTTCTAGCTTCCAACTGTGTCCTCTTGTCCTACTTTCTCTCAATTTGAAGAGGCTATTCGTGTCTACCTTATCCCCCTCATTATCTTGTATGTTGTGATCATATTCCCTCTGTTCCTTCTATTTTCTAGGGTTATGAGAGTTAATTCCAGTAGCCTATTCTGATCATAGCTTAACCCTCTTAGCTCTGACACCAATCACGTTGCGAACCTTTGTACTTCTTAAATTTTGGTTTTACCTGAGGCCACTAACACACTAATGGTCTTGTCGAGGACAGGAAGCCGGCAACTGGTCAAAGGCCTCCCATTTGTCTTTATTTTTTCTAGCTGGATTTTAAAGTTAAGCAGAATTTTGGCATAAACGGGTTCGGCGGGTAGGCTGTTGTTGTTTTAGATTCAGCTACTCAGAACGAAATGTCCATGTAGTACCTTACCTTGAGGTTACCTTGAGGTGCTTCCGGGGCTTAGCGTCCCCGCGGCCCGGTCGTCGACCAGGCCTCCTGGTTGCTGGACTGATCAACCAGGCTGTTGGACGCGGCTGCTCGCAGCCTGACATATGAGTCACAGCCTGGTTGATCAGGTATCCTTTGGAGGTGCTTATCCAGTTCTCTCTTGAACACTGTGAGGGGATTGCCAGTTATGCCCCTTATGTGTAGCGGAAGCGAGTTGAACAGTCTCGGGCCTCTGATGTTGATAGAATTCTCTCTCAGAGTACCTGATGCACCTCCGCTTTTTAACGGGGGTATTCTGCACATCCTGCCATGTCTTCTGGTCTCATGTGATGTTATTTCTGTGTGCAGGTTTGGGACCAGCCCCTCTAATATTTTCCACGTGTAAATTATTATGTATCTCTCCCGCCTGCGCTCAAGGGAGTACAGATTTAGGCTCTTTAGTCGGTCCCAATAGTTTAGGTGTTTTACTGAGTGGATTCTAGCAGTAAAGGATCTCTGCACGCTCTCCAGGTCAGCAATTTCTCCAGCTTTGAAAGGGGCTGTCATTGTGCAGCAGTACTCCACTCTAGAGAGCACAAGCGTTTTGAAAAGTGTCATCATCGGTATAGCATCTCTAGTGTGAAAAGTTCTTGTTATCCAACCTGTCATTTTTCTTGCAGTTGTGACGGCTACTTTATTGTGTTCTTTAAAGGTAAGGTCTTCCGACATGAGTACACCCAGATCCTTTACATTGCCTTTACGTTCTATGTTATGATTTGCCTGAGTTTTGTACGTGGTTTCCGTTTTTATATTTTCATTTTTTCCATAGCGCATGAGCTGGAACTTATCTTCGTTAAACACCATATTATTTTCTGTAGCCCATAGAAAGACCTGATCTACATCTGACTGGAGGTTTGCCGTGTCCTCTATGTTGCCAACTCTCATGAAGATCCTAGTGTCATCTGCAAAGGATGATACAGTGCTATACGTTGTGTTCTTGTCTATGTCCGATATGAGGATGAGAAAAAAGTACGGGCTATGGTAAGCCCGTAAGGCAGGTAGATTGATTGATTGATAAAGATTAAGCCACCCAAGAGGTGGCACGGGCATGAATAGCCCGTAAAAGGCGGGTAGTCGATTGTTGTTGTTGTTATAGATTCAGCTACTCGGAACAAGTTCCAAGTAGCACGGGCTATGGTGAATGCCCGTAACTTACCTGACACAGGAGCGGGGCAAGCAGCACGGGCTATGGTGAGCCCGTTGTGGACTTACCTGGCACAAGAGCGGTGATGTGTGTGTGGCGGGTAGTCGTTTCCATGTGTATATAACCCTTTGAGTGAGATGCTCATTGCAGCTTATTGAGCTTAAAACCGTTGCTCCTTGTATGTTACATCTGACCTTTTGAAGAATTTGTCTGGATTAGGGAGGTCATTCCACATTTTGGGACCCTTGATTTGCAGAGCATTTCTGCTCTGGTTAAGTCGCATTCTTGGAATATCAAATAGATCTTTGTTTGTAGTGAGGTGCCCATGGGTTCTGTTAGAGCCCTCTAGGAAACGTTTAAATCAAGGTTGGGATTAACATTGCAGTTCAGTTATATATAATAGAATGCATTTGAGAGGATATATAGTGACTTAATATCTAACATATGCAAAGTATGTAAGTAAGCGGCCCTGAGTCCTGTTTTGGGTTTGAGATTGTTATTGTTCAAATTGCTGATTTTGCGTTGAATAATTAGGACTGAAGAAAATGAAAGTTGTGTCGTCAGCAAATAGAATTGGCTCGAGTTGTAGAGAGGTATTTGGAAGGTCATTGATGAAAATAAGAAAGAGGAGAGAACCACTGCCCTTTGGAACACCAGTGTTGATTGGTAGGGTGGGAGAAGTAGTATAATTTACAGAGGCATACTGAATCCAATTACTGATGCAAGATTACAGGTATTGGAGGGAGTGACCTCTGACTCCATAATGTTGCAGTTTAAGAAGATTATTATAGGCAAAAGTGTCAAAAGCCTTACTTAGAAGGGAAACAAATAAACCAACAGGGTACTCATTGGGTACCCTGGTAAATCAAATAAATCATCAGGTCAGCATTGACAGCATTGACAAACTAAAAGACTCAAAAGCCCCAGGTGTGGATGGATTTAAATCAAAAGTCGTAAAGCAACTGACAAATGCACTATGCATACCACTGAAACTCCTTTTCAGAAAATCTCTGGACCAAGAGATAGTTTCCCTGGATTGGAAATATGCAAATGTTACCCTTATTTAAAAAAAAAGGCAGAAATAGCTCGGCAGAAAACTATCGTCCGATCAGCTTGACATCACACATCTGCAAGCTCACGGAGAAAATCCTAAGGAAGGGAATCATCCTATATCTCACAGAGAACAATCTTGTAAAATCAACGCAACCTGGGTTTGTTTAAAATAGATCATGCCTTACCTGCTCACATTTCTGGAAACGGTAAGCGGCTATTCAGATAAAGGTCTTCCGGTAGATGTAGCTTACATGGACCTTGCTAAAGCTTTTCACAAGGTACCACGTGAAAGACTGGTAAGGAAATTACAGGCACATGGAATAAATGGGAGAATATTGGAATGGATAAAACAATGGTTAAAACATAAAACAACAAAGGGTCGTGCTAAATAGGAAGGAATCTGACTGGGGAAATGTGCTAAGTGGGGGTGCCTCTGGGGTACATTTTGGGGCCAACCCTTTTTTGTCATATACATCAATGACATAGATGAGAATATTACAAACTACATCATCAAATCTGCAGATGACACTAAGATCTATGGTAAAATGGGAAGTGAAAGTGATATTGATACCTTACAAAGATTTCTACATGAACTCCACAAAAGGTCGGATGACTGGCAAATGCTTTTCAATGTCGATAAATAAAAGATTTGCATGTGGTGGCATAACAATCTACGTCACAACTACCAAATTAACAGTCCTACCTTACAACAGATAGAAGAAGAGAAGGACCTTGGAGTCAGAATTCATCATTCATAAAATTGCACAAGTGGTAGCAGCAGTAAAAAAAAGCTAACCAAACCATGGGAATAATCAAGAGTACCTTTACCTTTAAGGAAAAGAAGGTAGTCATTCAATTGTATAAATCTCTGGTGCGCTCTCACCTGGATTATTGCATCCAGGCATGGAGACTTCATCTTCAGAAAGACATAGCATAGGTTGTAAACCAATGGAACCGCCTACCCGTCGAAGCCGTAAACGCCAAAACTCTGGTGGGTTTTAAAATACAGCACGAAAAAATCATCAGGGCAAATGGGGGGGGATCTTTGACAAGGTGCCGGCTTCCTGTCCTCATCGATGCCACTAGTATTAGAGGCCCTGAGGTAAAAATTCAGGTAAATTATTTTTTCTCAAGTGTTGCGTGTATCAAGTTAATCATACTAATTAGTGCATCATTTGTGCTTTCACGAGATCTGAAGCAGGAGCTAAGTATATTATGTATTGCAAGATAGGAGTAGAGCAGCTTGTAGATTAGCTTTTCAAATATTTTTGACATGGTGGGCAGGACTGATATTGGTCTGAAATTGTTAACATGCTTAGGTACACACAATACTGATAGTACACATAACACTGCATAATGTACCTAAGCACCCTATGTTATATGAAAGCTTACAGAGTGCAGATAAAAAACTAGCTATAAGTTCATCTAATATCACCATCTCGGTACTACATAGTCTCCCCTATTTGGTGCCTTCTTCTGATAACTATTTACTTATACTTACTTATCTCTATCCCATAGGATGGTTAGTCATACATGGAATCAGGAGAAAACATGACACGCGAAGCTGACCTATTAGCCTGCACTAGCAATATAATTCTGCTGTTAGAGTTTACATTTAGTCAACCGTATTTTAGCAGGTGGTGCTAACTCCCAAAGGTATAAAATTGTAAGCGGAATCCAGTCTAGCAATAGTATATATCTATAGGTCTGCTGACCATAATGGATGACCCATAGCAATGTGGCTATTCTTGTACAGTAGTATGATTATAGATGCAATAAATAGTGTGAATTTCACTTGTCAGTACAAAAATATCGAATAACAAATATTTTTGCTAACACGGGGTAAAGTTACGTCATATTCCCGGTGTCGTCTGCTGGCCAGCGCGTTGCACATCACTAATACTAATCTAATAAAAATGTCATAATTCACAAGTTATCGTAGAATTATTAAACGTACAAATCATGCTTTCTCGATCACAAAAGAGAGTATATGATGTACATGGCCTCATGTGTTGATGAAAGACCATTGGAGCGAGTTATAGACGTAGCTGGTGGCGGCGTAAGGCAGCAGTGGCCGGCGAGGGAGCCTGGCAGGCAGCGGCCAGGCTCTCAGTAGTGGCACTGGCACCATGGCCCACCCCGGACCACTACACGCATTCTGCGGCTCCCAACTCTGGGTCAGTGCTCTTATGTACACTTGAGTTCTCACGAGCTGCGGGTGTCCAACTTCACACACACACTTAGTGTGTGCCCTAAGAGGAAAATGGAAACTCTTCCAGCGTTATTGTGGTGTTGCGTGGTGTAGGACTGCTCTAGCTGGCCCGTTGAAGGTTTATTTTGCATGAAGCCCAGACCGTGGTCTTAGGGGCTGTGTGAGGCCCAGACCGTGGTCCTGGGGGCTGTGTGAGGCCCAGACCGTGGTCCTGGGGGCTGTGTGAGGCCCAGACCGTGGTCCTGGGGGCTGTGTGAGGCCCAGACCGCGGTCCTGGGGGCTGTGTGAGGCCCAGACCGTGGTCCTGGGGGCTGTGTGAGGCCCAGACCGTGGTCCTGGGGGCTGTGTGAGGCCCAGACCGTGGTCCTGGGGGCTGTGTGAGGCCCAGACCGTGGTCCTGGGGGCTGTGTGAGGCCCAGACCGTGGTCCTGGGGGCTGTGTGAGGCCCAGACCGTGGTCCTGGGGGCTGTGTGAGGCCCAGACCGTGGTCCTGGGGGCTGTGTGAGGCCCAGACCGTGGTCCTGGGGGCTGTGTGAGGCCCAGACCGTGGTCCTGGGGGCTGTGTGAGGCCCAGACCGTGGTCCTGGGGGCTGTGTGAGGCCCAGACCGTGGTCCTGGGGGCTGTGTGAGGCCCAGACCGTGGTCCTGGGGGCTGTGTGAGGCCCAGACCGTGGTCCTGGGGGCTGTGTGAGGCCCAGACCGTGGTCCTGGGGGCTGTGTGAGGCCCAGACCGTGGTCCTGGGGGCTGTGTGAGGCCCAGACCGTGGTCCTGGGGGCTGTGTGAGGCCCAGACCGTGGTCCTGGGGGCTGTGTGAGGCCCAGACCGTGGTCCTGGGGGCTGTGTGAGGCCCAGACCGTGGTCCTGGGGGCTGTGTGAGGCCCAGACCGTGGTCCTGGGGGCTGTGTGAGGCCCAGACCGTGGTCCTGGGGGCTGTGTGGGGCCCAGACCGCGGTCCTGGGGGCTGTGTGGGGCCCAGACCGCGGTCCTGGGGGCTGTGTGGGGCCCAGACCGCGGTCCTGGGGGCTGTGTGGGGCCCAGACCGCGGTCCTGGGGGCTGTGTGGGGCCCAGACCGCGGTCCTGGGGGCTGTGTGGGGCCCAGACCGCGGTCCTGGGGGCTGTGTGGGGCCCAGACCGCGGTCCTGGGGGCTGTGTGGGGCCCAGACCGCGGTCCTGGGGGCTGTGTGGGGCCCAGACCGCGGTCCTGGGGGCTGTGTGGGGCCCAGACTGCGGTCCTGGGGGCTGTGTGGGGCCCAGACTGCGGTCCTGGGGGCTGTGTGGGGCCCAGACCGCGGTCCTGGGGGCTGTGTGGGGCCCAGACCGCGGTCCTGGGGGCTGTGTGGGGCCCAGACCGCGGTCCTGGGGGCTGTGTGGGGCCCAGACCGCGGTCCTGGGGGCTGTGTGGGGCCCAGACCGCGGTCCTGGGGGCTGTGTGGGGCCCAGACCGCGGTCCTGGGGGCTGTGTGGGGCCCAGACCGCGGTCCTGGGGGCTGTGTGGGGCCCAGACCGCGGTCCTGGGGGCTGTGTGGGGCCCAGACCGCGGTCCTGGGGGCTGTGTGGGGCCCAGACCGCGGTCCTGGGGGCTGTGTGGGGCCCAGACCGCGGTCCTGGGGGCTGTGTGGGGGGCCCAGACCGCGGTCCTGGGGGCTGCGTGGGGGGCCCAGACCGCGGTCCTGGGGGCTGCGTGGGGGGCCCAGACCGCGGTCCTGGGGGCTGTCCTGGGGGGCCCAGACCGCGGTCCTGGGGGCTGTCCTGGGGGGCCCAGACCGCGGTCCTGGGGGCTGTCCTGGGGGGCCCAGACCGCGGTCCTGGGGGCTGTCCTGGGGGGCCCAGACCGCGGTCCTGGGGGCTGTCCTGGGGGGCCCAGACCGCGGTCCTGGGGGCTGTCCTGGGGGCCCAGACCGCGGTCCTGGGGGCTGTCCTGGGGGGCCCAGACCGCGGTCCTGGGGGCTGTCCTGGGGGGCCCAGACCGCGGTCCTGGGGGCTGTCCTGGGGGGCCCAGACCGCGGTCCTGGGGGCTGTCCTGGGGGGCCCAGACCGCGGTCCTGGGGGCTGTCCTGGGGGGCCCAGACCGCGGTCCTGGGGGCTGTCCTGGGGGGCCCAGACCGCGGTCCTGGGGGCTGTCCTGGGGGGCCCAGACCGCGGTCCTGGGGGCTGTCCTGGGGGGCCCAGACCGCGGTCCTGGGGGCTGTCCTGGGGGGCCCAGACCGCGGTCCTGGGGGCTGTCCTGGGGGCCCAGACCGCGGTCCTGGGGGCTGTCCTGGGGGGCCCAGACCGCGGTCCTGGGGGCTGTCCTGGGGGGCCCAGACCGCGGTCCTGGGGGCTGTCCTGGGGGGCCCAGACCGCGGTCCTGGGGCTGTCCTGGGGGGCCCAGACCGCGGTCCTGGGGGCTGTCCTGGGGGGCCCAGACCGCGGTCCTGGGGGCTGTCCTGGGGGGCCCAGACCGCGGTCCTGGGGGCTGTCCTGGGGGGCCCAGACCGCGGTCCTGGGGGCTGTCCTGGGGGGCCCAGACCGCGGTCCTGGGGGGCCCAGACCGCGGTCCTGGGGGTTGTGTGAGGCCCATACTGGAGTCTTGTGACTGTGTGGGACTTATACTGGGGGCCTGGGTGATGTCTAGGCTGTAGTCCTGAGAGCTGTATATGCTCAGAATTCTGTATTGTCTTGTAACAACTATATTAATTAAGAGTAATAAGAATTGTTCCCAATTCTCAGTTCTATTGTAGACAATTAAATGTTTCTTTTAATTCCACATTCAAAGATGTTCTACGATAAACACCCTCCAATAATCCTATGTGCACTAATTCCAATTGATATTTGTTCCCAAGTTTTCGAAGATTCGTTTAGGACATCCTAAAGTATCCAGTATGTTTCCCTGCTGGATGATCAACTTGCCAGACACATTCTGTCCAACACTTGGTCATGTAAAGCATGGAATATGAATCATCATAAACGTAAAATCAACAGTCTAACTCCAATAGTGGTTCAGTGAGAAACTTGATATACTGCAGACCTTCTTTAACAGCATCGACAATCGTCAGCATCAATGTAATACTTGACGGATCTAGTTCTAACTCTCTCTCAAGATGCTGCAGCCTCACTACAGAGCATTTAGCTTATTCTGGCCATACTTGAACCACCCGCTCTCACCCTATATTTGAGCCGTCTTATCCCACCCACATTCTAGCTCTATGCTCTCTCCCTCTTTCGAACTCTCCAGCCCCGACCCCTGTCAAGCACTCTGCGCTCGGTTCCAAACCATGCCCAAGCATCCCTGTCTTATCAATCACAACACGTCATATTCAATATCCCTCTTCTGTAACCAAGACTATATTAAATAAGCATAAAAAACCCACTATACTCTAAATATTGCCTCCCAAAACCATATATTGTACGTTACAGTCTCATTCTCTGAAAAGCTTGTTTTGCACAAACATGCTTTTGAAAACTTTTTATTTAGCATTTCACACATTTCATTTTCATTCTCCGTGCTATTCCCTGTTTTCATCATCTGCATTTTATCCCTTACATGCAACTGGATTTAAATAAATTTAAAGAATTGGCATGGTTCTGTTTTACATTTGTCTGCTATCCCATTTTCAAAGTTTCATTCTGTTTCTCCTCTCACTGTCGTGTAGTTTTTCTTGCTGGTTTGTTTCTAACCTGGAATTCTTGATTGAGTGAAGACTGCAACGGCTTCACTTTTTCAAATTTTACTGTTATGTCTCCAAATAGACATAACAGTAGACATACCTGGGGGGTATAACCCCCTCAGGAATACCACCTCGTTTAACAATTTTTTTTAAGTTTGTCTCTGCTGGTGCATATGACAATTCCTGGCATCTTATGATACACAGCATTATGTCATTTAACTCCATTATTTTTTTACCTCTCCCCATTTATGTTCGCATATACAATTTTCAGGAATATGTTCTCTTGTTTTCTTTGCCCTTCATTCTCCTTTCCTCTAATGATTTTGTTGATTTGCTTTTGTGTTCCGTTTTACAGGCTTCCCAATCCGTATCACCCTGTAAAAACATTTTGCCTCATCGAGGAGCAGTTTCAGCAGCCTTGTCTTCCTTGGAAAGATCTCATCTTAATGACCATAGTTTCCTATCCTCATCCTTTTACAATTTCTTTGGATTTCTAAGCACTTCTGTTGTTTGTTTCACTCCATTTAAAGTCACCCCTAAAGAATGATTCTTATATTTTATGTATTTAAATATGAATTTGCCTATCCTTCTAAAATCACTTGAAAGCCTCACTTGTGAGGCTTTTTCTTAAACAATAATTTTTGCAATGTGTGTGTGTTTATTTAATGTTGATGAAGCTTATTGCATTTTATTTTGTTTTAGGATACAAACCTTACATGGACTGCTGAAACTCCTGAATTCACATCCTGTTTTGTGCGGACTATACTGGTGTGGATACCTTGTGGGTTTTTGTGGGTGTTCGCTCCATTGCAGACTCACTATGTCCTTTGCAGCGTGGATAGGCATATTCCATGGACATGGCTCAACATCTCCAAACTAGTGAGTGAAGTATCTCCTTAAAATATATTGATGTTACAGTATTTGATTTTGGTAATGTTTTTTGTTGGCCATTTGGCACTCTTTTGTTGGCAGTTTGGCATTTTTTTGGGGGAGTTTCATATTTTTTTGTTGGGTGTTTGGGACTTTATGGGGGGAGCCTTGTTGGCTCTCCAGAGCTATCCAGGCTGAATGGATATGTATAACTTTCTGATATCAATGTGCTTGGAGTTCTTGCCTACGGGGGACCACAAGCCAGAACCTGGCCCCCTCAGAGAGGCAGGAGGAGCACTGGCCTATAGAAACCCCCGTGTGGTTGGGAGCATTCTATGTCTGCCACCGACCGGGTCCTGGTGAAACTATAGCTACCGAAAGCCGAATAAGTGGACAGAACTCCCCAAGTGAAAACTAGCAAACTAGCATGACGTCATCACGTTGCCGTGCCGCTGTCTGCGCAACCCCTTCCCCTTCCCCGGGAGGGGGAAGGGGAAGCCCCAGACTCCCCCCGAGCCAACAATGCAACCGGCAGTTCTTGGCTGATGCGATTCTGGAGAAGTCGTGTACCTCTGGCTCCTGTTTTTTTGTCTCGGTTCTGTGCCTTGTGGTGTGGGCTCACACACCACCTGTCTCTACAGGTGGTGTGTGAGACAGGAGTAATATTCCGCGGTACTCGGGCTGCATGCGCCTAGGGTTCCTTTCCCTAGGTGCCAAGTAAGTACAGTGGTACCTCAGCTTACAAATTTAATCCATTCACAGAGATGGCTCGTAATCCGAATATTCGTGAACTGAAGTGAATTTCCCTATAAGAAATAATGTAAATTGAATTAACACTTTCGCGCTCTCGGCGCTCAAAAAAAAACAATACCCCAGATGCTTTCGGCACTTCACGCGCCTACGCGGTAAGACCGAAAAGTGTACACTCTTTTGACTGTCCTGACAATAATTGAAGGCGCACGTATTTAAATTTGGTATCACTGTGTTCGCAATGAAATTGTCTATAAGAGCATACCTATAAAATGCCGCCCAAGCATAAGGAGTATCAACACCAAATAAAAAACTATGCAGATCACTCGCCGAGAGCGCCAAACAGCAACAAAATGTTTCCACTCTCTTAATGGTTGCGAAGCCTACAGTTGTCCTACATCGCTAATTTTGGTATCATTGGAATCGCAATAGAATTCTCTACACGGACATATGCATATGAATGTTTAATATAGGTAATTGCCCACCCGCAAGAGTGTGTGAAGTGGAGAGTAGTTAGCCGCGAGCGCACTGGCGAAAACACAGGGTGGAAATCGTGCTTGGAAAGTTTATACGTTTCCTGACCCTACTTTTCTATGTATGTATTTCTTTTTTATACCAATGTGTTCGCAATAAAATTTTCTATAAGATGAAATGTATAACATTTGTACAAAGCATGTGTAAGAGAAGCGCCAAATATAGAACCACGTCGCTCAGTATGCGTTCGCGGCAGAAACGAACGCATTGTTTTCGTTCGTTTGATGTTTGTCATGTTTATACTTGTTGAAACATTTTATAATTTGTATGACAGTGATCGCAGTAAAATTCCCTACACAGACATATACATAACACATACAAATATTTCCCACGTGTTGGATATATCAACGGCTAAAGGGAACCCACTGCCACACGCTCGCCACACCCCCAAACATACTTGTTGTATTTTTTTTTTTTACTCATAGAAGTTTATGTGATATAATATTCATTCTGTTACCAAAACATTCGCAAATATATTCTCTACAAAACAAAAGTATCCCCATCCATTTCGGTTAAAAAATGGAATTTATATAAATATTTTTTCGATGGACGAGAAAAGTAGGCTGTTATGCGGAATCGTAAGAGAAAACGGCGACGAGTTATCTCTAATCTAAAGCGCGAAAGTGTTAATGTAATCCATTCCAGACTCCAAAAAATTAACTACAAAATAAATTTTATTGCTTACCTTTACTGATGACTCTAGTTGGTGTATGGAAGACGGTGAGAAGGGGGAAGGTGGAGAGGTGTTAGTGTTTGGAAGGGAGTCCCCCTTCCATTATAACATCAGGCAGTGATGACTTCCCTAGGGTACACTCTCTGGCACATTTTGCCTGCATACCACTAGGACCTGCTTGTGGCTCACTGCTTATTTTTTCACTAAAAATCTGTCTAGTGACACTTGTTTCTCCCTACATTGCAACACTTGTCTGAAGTGATACATTACGTTGTCATTAAAAAGGTTAACACAGCGGTCTTCTACAGCTTTTTTTGGGTGACACTTTTCAGCAAAACTTTGCAATTCTTCCCATACTGCACACATTTTCTTAATAAATGAGGAAGGGACATTCTCTACTCTACTCTGTGTAGGCCGGGGGTGCATCATGTGTTGTGTCCAGTTGCGGCTCTCTGGTGTTACTTGCGCCACGGTCTTGGTGGCCAGGGACGCGCTAGGGTTGACCCGGTTTCCCTTCTTCCCTGTTCAGGTTCGGGTCTTCCAGATTGACCACAGGCTTATTCAGTCCAGCCAGCCTGCAGTCTATCCTCGTGCCCTCGACGTTCGTAAGTTTGCGGCTTTGGCTGCAATCTTTGGCAACATGTCTTGGATTGACATTAGGGCACTGGTTTTTGGAGGTCGAACAGGGCCCCTGGCTGCTCTCTACCTTGTTAGTGTCCCTGGACCTCGTAGGGCCTGCGTTGCATTGGGTTGGCGGTTGCAGCCAGCTGTCTCGGCTTCGCGTTGAGGAGTGAGGACTGACTGCCACCCGGGTAAGTCCCTGTTTTTCCTTGTCTTCGGGTAGTTAGCTCCGAAAAACCAGCATTGAATGTAATGAAATGCCATTTTCTGGGCGAGTCCTGGAGGCTCCCCAACATCCCTCCCTCCCTCCGGTTGGTAGTGTTTTCACGTATTTTGACATCCAGCCTAAGAACTGCTGGGTGGACCGCCGATGTGGGGGTCTAGGGCTCCCCCTTCCCCCTCCTTGGGAGGGGGGGGAGGTTGCGCAGACATCAGCGTGGCGACATGATGACGTCATGCTCGTTTGCTAATTTTCGTTTGGGGAGTTCTGTCCACTCGTTCGACTTTCGGTAGCAATAGTTTCACCAGAATAGGGGTTTGTTTTGGGGGCACCTTCCTTTCTGGGTGCCAGATCCAGTCGATAGCAGACATAGAATGCTCTCAACCACACGGGGGTTTCTATAGGCCATTACTCCTTGTGCCTCTCTTGAGGGGGGCCAGGTTCTGGCTTGTAGTCCCCTGTAGGAAAAAACTCCGTGCACGTTGACTGATGCCAGAAAGTTATATATATCCATTCAGCCTGGATGGCTCTGGGGAGCCTCCATGACTCGCCCAGAAAATGGCGTTTCATTACTTTCAACGCTGTTTTTTTTTAATTTACTAACAGGTTAAGTGTCGAATGTCTTTATAATTTTAACAATGTATTAATCAAAATTTATAATCCATTACACTGAATACTATGTTAATCTAATATAATATTGCTTTGTGAAGGATGGGGAGCTTGCAAATTGAATGCATAATAGGAAAGGAATAGTACTTGGGAGATTGTAATATTATACAGTATCTTGGAAGCATTATTTAATGTACAAATGTTATTTGACAAAATGTGCAGAAGGGGCTGCATGATGTCAGAATGGTAGTGAAAGAAATAACGATCAAGAACAAGCCTTTCCCACAGATGAGTATTTATAACGTAAACTTGTTTGTAATTTGTTTTGTCTCTCTGGTATTGCAACATTTAAGTTTTTAAAATTTGCACTTAATGAACTGCATTTGGTATTATTGTACTGTAATGCAGGAAAGATTAAGTGGCAGATACATATAGCCTCACTCAGTCAATATTGGCATATCATGTATTACCCAATAGTTTGAGCATCCGAAGAAGTGATGTAAATTATATACAGGACAGATACAAGATACCATGAGAATATACTGTACAGGGGTGTTGTTAGATGTGACTAACTGATTTTCTATATTTTAGGATTCTCTCAAACTGGAATACTAGGGTGAATGTGTGATTGGAGATCATGTATTGGATATTTGTTAGACTGGTTTACAGAAATTTTGGGATTGTATGTAAGTAGTGCTGGTTATGAGTAATAAAATTATTTGTTCTATTTGCAGGTTGGGTCTGCGCTCCTGTTAATTATTCAATTTATCGATTTTTTTTATGCTGTCCACAAATGGAGAATTGGAGAGGATGTATTTTGTGTTGATTTTATTACTCCGTTGCTTATATTTGCCTCGATAGTAAGTATACAACTAATTTTTATAAACACCTGCTGCTTGAATTATCTATTTTCTTAATAATATATATATAATATTCAAGCATAGTTTTGTTTGGTAGCAGTTTTGAGTATAAAGTTCAGGTGTAAGAACAGGGGTCTTAATCTAGTTAGTAACAGTAGAGTTTTACTGCATAAATAAAAAAAATTGAATTTGTTTATATGATGTACAATAATTTTTAAACTGCTGCTCTTTCACCTCCTCTCAAAACAATTGAGTACACACACTTGATCAGTGTACCATCAGCCATATGTCAGATTTCTTGTAGGGTGCAGTACATTATGGCCAAAAATTAACAAATTCAACATTTTAATTTATTTTTTGTGCCACAAACAACAATTCTTATTTTCATATACAAACTCCCACCATTTACCCAATTACTTGTCGTACAGTATACCCGATTACTCCAACAGTATATGGTATTTGGTTTCTTCCACTGTTTACTTGAAAACAGTGCATATAATAATAAACTAGAAGTCCTATTAGGCAAACAGTAAGGAATATGAAATTATCTCTTACTGTACTGTAGTTAGAAAACCAAAATTAATTATTTTAACAAGCGTTTTCTTGGTACAGTTATTTCAGGCAGCCTGGGTGTTGATAGAGAAGAAACGAGGAATCCAGAGCTCTGGCTACCTTTTCATGTTCTGGTTACTAGTGGTGGTTTGTGCCATCCCCGAGTACGGCAGCCATTTCATCGCCCTCATGGTTACTATCTTCGTGTTTAAAATGTTGTCTCATAAATCTGTTTAAATAGGCATATTATTAAATCATATTATTACATAGCCGAGCTTTGAACCCTGGTACATCATTTTATTATACTGTACCTGGAAGCCTAATTTCTTAAACCAAGTACAGTATTTTAAATATCTTTTCTTGGCCTCTAAATTCTTTTGTTTATTTATCTGCTGTATTTATAAACTTTATATTATTTATTTGTCCTTGTGCCAAATATACATGTAAACAAGAGTCACTTGTGTAACACTATTGTTATTGATGGACATGCTAGAGAAATCTTTGATTTCTTAGACTTATACGACCCTTGCTTCAGTATAATAAAAAAAGGAAACCAAAGATGGCCTATTGGTCCATATGTGGCAGGTCCTATTTGTATCCACCAAAACTCATATACAGTACTGTATATGTCTAACCTTTGCTTGAAATAAGCAAGTGATCCCATATCTGTTTTGTTACCTAGTTATTTGTTCCACAGATTAGCCACCCTATTTCCAAACAATTATTTACCTAGGTTTTTCCTAAATTTAAAGTTATCTAATTTATAGCTTTGATTCGTGTTGTGTTTTGAGTTGGTATATTGAACACCTTAATATAATATTGTCTTTATTATACCCTTTTATCTATTTGTATACTGTACTTCAATTATACCTTTCTAGAGAATATAAATTAGTCTTTTTTTAATTATTCTTCATGTGGAAGGTTTTTAATTCTTGGGATTAACTTTGTCATCATTCTTTGTACTAGTTATGTTAATGCCCATTCTATAGTATGGTGGCCACAGTTGAACTACATAATCTAAATTGGACCTTACAAGAGCAAGATAAAGCAGAAAAATAATACTTGTTGTCTTTTTGTTAATGACATTCATTAACATTGTTAATGAAAATTTTTAATGAATAATGAATACTATATTGTTAATGCTATTTATTATTTTAGAAATAAATCCCAGTATCCAATTTACCTAATTACATACATTTATGCATTAAATTTTTGTTGGGTAGTATTATTGAATAATTGGTTCATTTAGGTTCGGTGTTAGGGAACGTCTAAATGTTTACTACAATACTTGTTCCTGAGCTAAGAGAACTGAGCTATTGGTGATTTAGTTATTAGGTCATCCTCTCTTGTAAGGTTTGTGCTGATAGCCAGTTCTTTCCAGCCCAAAAACAGGAGCTCTGTTCTCCTTGGAGCCACTGAGGCTTCAGAATAAAATTTTTAATAATTCATTGAGTCGTGGGTAATTATTTCTGATAATTGCAGGACTGTATCAGGGTACAATTGTTTTTAATTCTCATGTTATTTCCATTACAGGCATCTGGCACAGGTTCCTTTAGCTTTGGTACCTTCATGGTGTACTTTCCAGTAGTTGTGCTAATGCTTATCTTCAACTGCTTTGGTGATGCCCCTCCACTGTATGTCGACTACCCTAAAGGAGAGGTTAGTCACCCCTTATTACTGATGACTATTAAACTATATAATAAAGGTAGTTAAGTAATATCATAGTCAAATCTCTTGAATGCAAAACCAGTTTCTAAAATACTTAAACAAATATAGCATTAAATGCAATGAAATGACTCTTTCTTGGAGGGCCTCAGTGGCTTCCTGTAGCTAGTCACAGTAGCACTAGGCAGTGATGTGGCAGATGCAGACTCCATACACAGTTTCAAATGTAGATATGATAGAGCCCAATAGGCTCGGGAACCTGTACACCAGTTGATTGGTCCTGCCTCTCAACTCTCAAAGAGCTTGAAGCTCAACCCCCATAAGCACAATTATTTGGATACATTTAGGTGAATACACCTAAAAGTCATAATAGCTCTTGTGAGTCCTTAAATTAAAAGGTGGGATAAACAGAATGCTTATTAGCACAAGAATCATAAATAACCAAAAACAATTTGTGTGTTGCTTTTATTTCTAGACCAGTTTCTTTATGTAGGCATTGTAGGCAGTGGTGTAGGGTATCACCCCCTCACCTAATCTCCATTTGTTATTTACATATAATAATTTGAAATATGGGAAGAATAAAATGTTTATCAATACAAAAATTTATAGAACAAAAAACTTGGGAAAACATATATAACAGCAGTGTTTGTATGTGGTGAGATGTCCGACATTCTCTCGCCTCCAGCCTTATCAAGTCCCTTTTTAAATTAACCGGTATTTCAGTTTATTAACCATCTGAAAGGACAGATTATTTTGATAAATTGAAGTCGACTAAATATGGTACTTGTAGGTGTGAAAGCCATCGAGTTTGTTTTATCATGAAGTTCTTGAAGCCTCTATTCCATTAATTTTCCACCATTTTCAGGTGAATACCTCCAGTTACTCCCAACTCTATGAAAGATTGAGAAACTGGGCAATAATATATATATTTTTAATTTTGTATCATTAAATCATACTTTTATTATTTTTTAAACAGAAGCCATGTCCAGAGCCTGGGGCATCATTCCTCAGTAGAATAACATTCTTCTGGATGGATATGTTTTTTTGGAGGAGTTACAAAACACCTGTGAAGGAAACCGATCTTTGGGATTTATCTTATGAAAATACTTCACGCACAGTAGTCTCAGCATGGGACAAATACTGGAAAAAAACTACAGCAGAAGCTTACAAGTAAGCATATGGTGAAATTATTGTGGTCAGTTTATTTAGAGAATACCGTGACTCCATTATGAATTATAGCATATGCAGTGCTTGAAAGTAGTGGTTAAGTACCATTATCTGTTTTATGTGGAGCTAAAGCATGAGTATATTGTTAGCTACTAAATTTGAAGAAATCCTAGTAATTACAATTATTTGTTTTATCATGGTTTTCTTTTTACCAGACTCTTATTCAGTCTCAAATACTTCATTGTATTTACCTGAAATTCTAAATACTTATTCTTGAGCAAAAAAAAAAAAAAAAAAAAAGTTGCCAACTGTACTGAAATTATGCAGTGCCCCAAATTAATTAATTCATTATTTACATGTTTGCATTGGTTGTTTTGAATGCCTCATTGTATTGACTTGAAGCTGACATTGCTTATGTATGATCAGAAAATCAGAGATTCTTTTGCTGTTGTAAAGTGTAGCACAGCAGCAACATTTTACAAATAATTTTTTATTTCCTAGAAAATCATTAGTGATCCTAACCAAATCAGTTGCTCTGGTTAACTCTGGTTAAGAATATCGTTCACAAAAGGACATGGCAAAATGTTAGGTAATATAGTTTACCTTCACTCCCAGATGCACTAGAGATCTTTTATTTATTTTTATTTATTTATTTATATATTTACAAGAAGGTACATTGGGTTTATGAGAGTACATAGCAGTTATGTTTTTACATGCCTGTAAAGCCACTAGTATGCATACCAGGGTTATTGACTGCTATGCATAACATTATACAAATGCACACATAACACGACATCTTTTAAAAATGTCTTTCCTTTTTTGGCCCTACAGCAACGGCCCTTAATTTTCATTAAGTTGCACATTACTATGTACAGTACTATAGTCATACTAGCTGAGAACCTTTCCTTGATAAGTACTTTAGAAGCAGTGGCTCATTCTCGCCTCAAAAAACCCATACACTTCTCTATCACTCATGACTTCTTTTACATTCCTTAAGTTGTCGTTTTAATGCCAGAAAATTTTTGTGTTCAGTTAAGTGAAATAATTTATGTAAATTTATATTCTGTACACCAAACTGTATAGCTCTTTACAGAAATACTGAAACTTATAAATATCACATTTGCATGCTCTCAGGAAGTTCTGGGACAATTTTGGGTAAGTATGACTAAATTGAGTTCTTCCTAGCAGTAAAAAGCTAGGTCCAAGTAAAAATCCTGTGTTCCATAAAGATTTGTGACATATTATACTGTTCTTGAGAATATATACAGTATGCACATCAGCATCTTACTAGTACTGGATAAATTTACAATTGCAGAACTCAGCATGTATTGTTAACAATGTCAAGATCCAGGGAAGATACTGAAGAATTGTGCTAGTGTAATATATTTTTTTAATTAAGTGGACAGATGTACTGTATTACTGAAAATACTTAATGTTCATCTTCATCTCTGATAACTTAACATCGCATTATTTATGACTATTGTTGGGTAATTTTTAGTAGGATATTTAGCAAATCTTGTATAAACATAAGGAAGGAAAATAGCCAAGTACTGAACTCCAATATCTTGCTCATTCAACAGAAAGGGTGAATCTCGCACATCGGCCACCTGCACCAATAATGCTACTCACATAGAAATCACAGGCATTGCAGGGAACAAGGAGCAATATCTCTCCATTTTACCCACTATGGTGCGCATGTTTGCACCCTCATTTCTCATGGGTGCCTTCCTCAAGCTCATCCATGATATACTGCAATTCCTTAGTCCTCAGATTCTCAGGTAATTTAACAAGATAATTTCTTGATGCTGTTTGATATTGTGCAGTATTGAGGGGGAAAGATCCTTAATGTTGCTGGTGACATGTCAGGTGAAACCTTCAGTTTCTTTTAAGAGGATAAGAGAGGGAGGGGGAAAGGGGGAAAGAGGGAGGGAGCGAGGGAGGAGGGGAGAAGAGTGGTTAAGAATCGGATTTAAGGATCGATTTAAGGATCAGAGTGGGAGTTTCTGAGGTAAGACTCATCAGATGCTTGCTGAAGAAAAATACATGTTCTACCCAAGTGTCGTATCACCCACCAGCTTTATGGTTAGCTTGTGCCCCCCACAGTGAAAAGAAACATTTAAAAATGTCATGTCACATAATAAAGGAGAAATATGTAGTAGAGAAATTCATCAACTCCTTTGGCCTCTGTTGTGATGGATTTTATCACCTGGTGGCAGTCAGGGGGCAACCTTTGCATACTAATACATAGCAGAGCAATACATGATTTTCTTGCATTTATAATTATCACTGACTGTGTGTGTTGAGGGTATTGATCCAGCTTTTGTCCCATTGCAAGCTGGTCGCTTGGTTGTAGTTTGAATTATTCTCTCCATTGTATCTCTTCCCTTTACTATGTGACTAAGACCATTCAAAAAGTTCCTTGTCATGGTGAGGGGGCCAAAGTTGATGAAAGCCTGGTGGGTGATGCAAATCCTGAGTGGACCATATCAGATAGTTCCATTGTATTGTACCCTCACAATATTTTTCTATTTCAGTTTATTAATAAAGTTTTCTGAAAGTGAAGAGGATGAACCCATGTGGCATGGATACATGTATGCTATTCTGATGCTGGTGTGTGCACAACTGCAGTCCCTCATGCTTGGTCAATATTTTATGAGGATGATGCTAGTAGGGCTTCGGATACGAACAGGAGTTATCTCTGCAATTTATCGCAAGGTGAGAAAATAATATCAACAGGATGTTTATAAATGCCATGTTTATATTATATATACGTTCATTACGCCATGTAGACAGTGCCTACAACAAATTCAAGCATTTGACTTGACCTGTTTATGAATGGTACAGGATATCTGAAACATGGTAACCCTTCCAGGACTCAATTTTGTAATTATATGAAAGACATTATTTGTTTGATGGAATTGTAGATGATTTTATGATTATCACTACACTGTTTTCATTTTTGTGGTGTTAGAAGGCATGAGCCTGGAGTAAATAGGAATGCCAGTTACAAAGCAAGAATAAAGATACCATATAGAAAACAAATTGTATTTGAAAAGTGCTTTCTTGAGCAAACATGTTAATGTCACACACTGACATTTTCATCTTCAATGCACAATCACTGAACTCGTAGGCTAACTTGTCATTTGAATGCAAGGAACAAAAAGGCAGGCCCAGTTAATCTCACAGCTAGTCAGTCAAACAACATCTTGTAATATCCAGTGTAAGGAACCAGCATCAACCAGGACTCCCTACCTGAGAGGGCCAATTGAGCTGTACAGTACTAATTAAGATATACTGTAAAAAGTGTAAGTTTAGTTACACTAGATTCTTTTGAAGGCATTATTGTATATCATCATCTGCACTTGTATAGACTCCAGCAGAATAAGATCGGCTTGTTGTGTGTGTCTCGGATCACTGTAAAGGGATTCTGCATAATCATTTTTTGGGGTTTTTCAAGTTTCATTTCTCTGGCGGCCTTTCCTTCAGTCAGATTTATGGACACTTCCGACATCAGTTGGGATTCATCTCCATTTGTTGCCATGCTGGTAAGATAGTGGCATTTTAGATGGCACTCCTGACTTCAGTGAGCATTGATCTTGCATCTCCACTCAGAATGTTTTAGTAGTTAATTGTCTGAATAGAGGGGTCTCTCTCTCTCTCTCTCTCTCTCTCTCTCTTTCCTTTTCCTTTGGTGATGAATCCTGCAGAAACATCTCATCTGGATTATCAGGGTTCATTCCTCACCAGCAGTCCACATTTGAGGGGGACTTAAACATGCACTTAGATGGACTCTCCCATTCCTATCCAAGTTTATAGAGTATGTGGAGGGCAGGGCTTCCTTACTATGGTTATGTGAGGTGTTGAAGGCCATTATCACAACAATGTAGAATCACCATCATACAGTTAACACACCTCCATTTCCAATAGCAAAGCCGTCATAGTGGGTCCCTTTTGCCTGGACTGGTTCACATTGGTTTTCCATATCTATTTGCTTTACTTCAGCTTCTTTTCCTTGATCATCCCCACCCTCTCTCCCTCCTTCCATATTCACCTTGCTCTTCATATCCCATCCTCTTTCCACAACTGTCAAGTCACTCCTTGAGGTCCTCTTGCTTCCTGCCTCGTCTAATCTTCTCGCTCGTGCTTTCTCACCACAGTCGCTCTTTCGACTTTGCAAGTTGCATAGTTTTCCTGGCTCCCTAGTGGTGTGTCAAACCATAGTTTCTGACCCTGTGATTGATGACCCAACCAATTCCCAAACCATCCAATGTTTGGGGATTAGCTGGGATGCAGTGTGCGATGCCTTGCATACCACACTCGGACTCTGCAGTTTGGATTGAACCTAGCCCTAGGATGTTCACTAGATTTACCCATGTTATCCTTTGGTGTCTTCTAATAGGGATATAAGTGCTGGCCTACTTCAACAACTTGCTGATTTTAACTTCCAGTCGGTCATCTTGTCTGCTCTCCAGGGATCGGGTTCGTTTCTAGTTAACTCGTTTTGAGTTCCTCGTCAATTGGGACAAGTTTCAGTTGGTACCCTCTCAGGTTTGGACTTGTTTCTGGGCTAGAATGCCATGATGGCCACAGTCTTTCTGCCTGTGATAGTCCTGTTACAGTTGGGTGTGTATCTCCATCAGGTGTTGCAGAGTGCTCTCCCTCTCATCAATCTTTAGTGTTAGGCAACCTGAATTTTGCCTGCATTTAGTCATGGATGGAACTGTTGGGAGTGGACTTGATCATCTTGAGTAGAATCTTTATTAGTCGTTATCCTCTTAAAGGATTTTCAGGGTTCAGTTCCATGGTATGTGGGCAAGGTCATCCTTTTGCCTCCCGGTGGCTGGCTCATCTGTGGTTTCTGGGCCTTTAGGCTTGGTGTCCCCTTCCTCTTACCATGGCTGTCTCTTCCAGCAAATCAGAAGTGCAACTTATCTCACTGTTTCGAGGCACTCTGCAGGCTGCATCTAGTGGCAAGTGTTGCAAGTCTGTAATTTCACTATTTAACTCTTCTTTACATTATAATCATCTAGATTTTTAAAAAATCCAAGCATTGGCTTGTTTTAGGGCACTAATTTGTTCTCTGGTGGGTTTTTTATTGGTATTATTGGGACTCTCTGATCCCCAGTTACCATTAGCCTCTTTGAGGAAGCCAGGTTCTGGTCCTGACTCCTGGTAGGCACTGGTAGATCTACAGAGGCCTAGTTGTTTTGAAAGGTGTGATCATTTCCAGGTTGCTGCACTGTGGAGCTACTGAAGGCCCACCAGAAAAAATGTTTCATTACATTCATTGTTAAATTTTTAAGTACAGTACTGCATCTTCTTGATCTAAATTTTACTTCCTAAAGTTAAATAAAGTACAAGGTATCATCAAAATATTGAGTTATATGGTTTATTTTCTAGGCAATGAAGATATCCAATTCTGCTAGAAAAGAGTCGACAGTTGGAGAGATAGTAAACTTGATGTCAGTTGATGCTCAGCGATTCATGGATCTCACAACCTACGTGAACATGATATGGTCTGCACCACTACAAATATCTATAGCTCTTTACTTCCTCTGGGACCTTCTAGGCAAGTCCAAAAAAAAGTATCTTATTTTATGTGAGGACATGATATAATCTTTCCACATGTAACTATTCCTAACATTAAACTTTGAAGCTTTCTTAAATTTCATGGTTGTTTAACTTATTGTTTGATTGTATAGTTGAAGGTGTCCATACAATCAATGAACTGTTGAGTACTGTCAGTTCAATAGCTTAACTTTGGGAAGTCTATTAAATATCATCCTATTTACCGCTCCTAATGATCATCTCAATGGTAAAACTTGACTGAACAATAACAAATATTGTCATATAATTCTGAATTCATTTAACTAGTCATAAAATAGGTATATTCCTAATGTTTTATCATGGGTATCTAAATACTGTACTATATATTACTGTAGTATTTATGCCACTCAGATATATTAACATGTGTGGAAGTAAAGTTATAATTTACATTTTTTTTGCATGTCCATATAATGCTTTATATTTATAAATGTTATCTTCCAGGTCCATCTGTATTGTCTGGCTTGGCAGTTATGATTGTGCTTATTCCAGTGAATGGAGCTGTTGCAAATAAAATGAAGCAGCTACAGGTCAAGCAAATGAAGAGCAAAGATCAACGTGTGAAGCTTATGAATGAGATTCTTAATGGTATTAAGGTTGGTTGTAAAATTTAGTAGTTTCAATTTATTTGTTTAAAATAATACACTAGTACACTTACCTTGATATAGTAGTTGCATATAATCTGTATCCCTGGGACAAGGCTGAACACAAACATTGACTAGTATAAAAGTAGTCTCCCTCCCCTTCTTAAATGTGAACTAATTAAAGTAACTGGAACTGGCACAATCCTGGGGCGAGTTGCAAAAGCAAACACTCCATGAGAACAAGTAAAAATTATTATATTACTGTGGTAGTATTGCTGAGGAAAGTTTGCACATTACTATAACCAAACCTAAACAAATGTAGGCTGGGTGAATCACTAAAGCAAATTTCCCAGGAGTGCATATTTTAATGGAGCATGAAATCCTAAGTGAAAACCTAGAGCAGGACCCACGACCTCTGGAATACAATCTGAAGAAAATGACAAAACTCTGGGTTCCCAGTGCTGTATCCTGACAGAAATATGGGTTAGGTTAATTCTAGGGTGATATGCTAAAGCTAACTCCCCAGGAGAATAGGCCACTTGGATGAAAATCTAGAATGGGTCCCAAGACTGCTATCCTAGAGCACAGCCTGAAGAAATTTGGTTTAAGACGTGTGTTTTTGGCATCCCCCCAACCCAGTCCTATCAACCAGATTAAAAATAGGCAAGGGCCTGTTTGTGATCAAAAGAAAAAAAGAAAAAAGTCAGAGTACTGTCAAACAAGACCTGTGTGAATGAATGTAGTGTACAATACAGGTAGTGATAATATGGGAACTGAATGGACCAAAGTGTGTACACACAGCACAAATTCTTTGGCTCTTGACAAGATTATTTGTAATTCCTAAAGTTAGGGTCAACTCAAAAGGAGAATGACCTCAGTTGCAGCACTAACCAAGCCTGCCAGGAAGATAACAGGTCAGTCAGTCTACAAAAACTCTGGGGACAGGCAAAAAATTGTGTGAACGTACATGCATAAGTGTCCATGTAATATAGACAGTTTGCACATGAAACTAATTTTTCAGAATACACTTTATAGTAGTTAGATATGTAATCCTTGTTAGCTGCGTTGTCAAGTTCTCGAGAGTTAGTTGTCAACATCTGATGGTGGTCTATGGAAATGGTTGGGGTGTCAATTGGCAATTAGCAGGGCAATACTTGGCAGTCTTTTTGAGACTTGGGGTAACTTTTAGAAAAAGGTTTATGAGTTTAGATGAATGAAACTTTTGGTGGTCATGTTGATATTGATTGAGAGAACTCCTCCCTTTCCTTATGTGTGAAGGATAGATGAAATTGTTTATGTAATAATCTAAGGTGAGGTCTGATGAACACCTTTTGTGCCCTCTGTAATGCTTTTTGCACTACCGCTCACAGGATGAGTATGGGATGCACAATAAACTAGCCGCCTCCTGCGGCAACAATCAATCCTTCCTTTCCTCCATTACGACCTTCTAGAATCTACTCCATCTAGGAATGGAAGTCAAACGGATATGACTGTTGTCTGGCCAAGGTCATGTTTATGGAAGCTGAAGGATTTAGGCTTCAGCTGAAGCTGAAGCCTAAAGGATTTACTAAGTGATATTAGCTCGAAGAATTTAATGTTATATTCCTTCTCTCTAGTTTCTTACCAAGGTGCTATAAAAACTTCACTCAATTTTGTTACTGTATAACAAAATTATTAATCGATGCAAAAATTCCTGATTGTTTGTTATTCGTATTTGATGCTTATAAATAAATACAAAGGATGATTACTCGCATCTAAATAAGTACGATGTGACTATAATTTTGGTCTATTGGTAAATTAAAATAAGGACAGTATGTATATATAAATAATTTCTGAAGTATTGAAACTAATTTAAAGATTAGTACATCAGCTGCATATTTTAAAAATCTTTTGAATTTGTAGGTTCTGAAACTATATGCTTGGGAACCTTCATTTGAAGATCAAGTGATTGCTGTACGCAATAAGGAAGTAGGTATTCTGAAGCAAACAGCTGTCTTGAATGCTTGCACAAGTTTCATCTGGACTTCTACACCTTTTCTGGTAAGATGTATATTAGTCATATTATTTGATGTTTCCAAAGTGTGTTTAGATATTAAAGCAAATAATAATAATAATAATAATAATTTTTATTTAGGCAAAGGTACATACATAAAGATATTTTACAAAGTTTGTTGGCTTTATAGATAGGAGCTAGTACATACAATGCCTAAAGCCACTATTACGCAAAGCGTTTCGGGCAAATATTAATATCAGTATCAATTATTGATTAGATATTGAGCTCACCATCTACAGAACATAAAGCATATTGGCATTGTATATTGTTATTTTTGGTTTGTTCTGCAAACAGATTTAATATCTTAAACTTGTATTTGAGTATGTACTTTAATTTTTTTCCATTCGGTACTTTGATATTTTTTGAAAATATGTTTAAGTATTGTTACCTTTGCTTTAGTTGCACGTTACCCCAAGTTGTTTGATTTTTTCATTAATTTATTTTGATTAATAAAAGTTTTATAGACATTAAATGGATAATTTGATATTAGAATAATCTTCTTAAAATTATCTGTGATATCTCTAGAAATCCATTGTACATCAGTATGAACCTCTCAGGATATTTGTATTGGGTTGCAAAGAAAGTCTATATTGTTACAGGTTCATGTAGTCCTCTGGTGACAGATTTTAGAACCTTGAACACTTCATGGAGGATGGAGATCTTATGTTGTATCTTGAAAGCAAATAAGCAGAGTTGTTTCAATATTTGTATAAACTTATATGTGATTTTATATCTTGAAAGAATGGTTGAATGTACGATGCGCGATATCGTTTATACCCACTAGAAAATAAGCATTGGATCACTATGTGTATGAAAAGGGACTTGGTAAAAACAATGTGAGAGTGCATTGGGTCGGGTAGAGTTGAGGCTGATGTGAGTGTATGGCACGAGTAGGAACACACTGTGAAATGAAAGTGATGATAGTTTGGTCTTGAACCCTTATCAAGTTGTAACAAGGACGAGTGGGAAAGAGTCAGTGTAAGGCATGAGGGAAGGTTAGCTGAAAGAAGGTAAGGGGGTAAGTGGAGAAGTAAACAATGAAAACTGAGCTAACACAAGAATAAAACCACAGGAAAATCTTGGAAAGCAACTAAACAAAGTAAGCAGTAAAGGGAGGAGAAACACTTAAAAGTGCATTTCTCTTCCCTTTTCTGTTTACTTTGTTTAGCTGCCATTTAGCCTTCTGCAGTTTCCTTTATTGTGTTAGCTTGGTTTTCATGCTCCACTTCTCCACTTGCCCTCTTCACTTTTTTTTTTTTTTTTTATATATATATCCTTGGCATTTGCCTTATATTGACTCTTTCCCACTCACCTTGTTGATTGGCATGAATCCAAGATAGACCAACATGTTATCACTTCTATTTAATTTCATATGTGTGTAATGGCCTGCTGAAGCAGAACTCGCTCTGCCTTCCCCCTTTCCCCCTTCCTCTTCCCCTCCCTTCCTTCTCCCTTACTTCTCCTTCCCCCTCCATCGGCTCCCTTTACCCATTCCACCTGGACAGTTAACCAATCCATCAGCCCAGGTACTATAAACATGGTCTCTCAGGTCACCTCCTGAGTGGAGCAAAGAGGCCTGGTCCAAAAGGCACTAATCTAGGAAGCTCTGCCCCCTTCCTTGGCTCACAACCAATGGCCTAGAAAGGCTTCCTAGACGGCGGGTTTTACTTCCGTAGACTGTAAATTAAAACTGGTTCAAACCAACTTGCACTGGGAACAATCCACACTTGTTCTCCACTGTTGATACACACCAGACCTTTTGGTCCAGGCCTCTTTGCTCCGCTCAGGAGGTAACCCGAGAGACCATGTTTAAAGTACCTGGACTGATAGATTGGTTAACTGTCGAGGCGAAATGGGTAAGGGGAGACGATGGAGGGGGAAGGAAGGGGGAGGGGAAAAGGGGAAGGAAGAGGGCGGTCTGCTTCAGCAGGCTGTTACACATGCAGGTTAGGCTATTTACTGTACTTCAAAATACAATACCGTACCTGGAAGTAAGGCGTTGAGTGCAAGTGAATCACTCCTCTCAGTCCTGGTGACTCAGTTGCTACCATATGGACAATATTTGCACTATTAGTACCTTTGCCTGGTGATGCTAGGCTTGCTAGGCTTGGCAGAGCTGTACAAATAATAATCTATTTGATTTAAAGGGTTATTTGAAGGAGGATTTTGAAGTTTGAGGAATGTACCTTCAGACAGTTATTCAAGGATGTAATCAGTATTCTAATAGTGTATACCTTCCTGTTGTGGCATGGAAGGGGCATTTAGGAAAAATCTTGGCTGGGAGGTGGGAAGTTAGAAGCACTGTTTGAGGTTGGAGTTGGCAGTGTTCTACAAGGAGTAGAATATTTTTGAATGGCGTGACTGTGTGAAGGGTTTCTTCTTCACGTGATATCTTATTTCTGAGCTAGCCACTCCACTGCTCCCATACCCCATTTCTTTCTTCTGACTTACCTTGTGCCTGCAGGTACAAGATTGAAATCAGGAAGCCTGAAGCTATTCCAACCCACCACCAGAGGAAGCCTGGACACTCACATTCCTCCATGTTCTGTGGGGATGAACATGGAGGAAAGTTAAAATACTTTGATAGTATTGAAGTTAAAATACTTCAATACTCTCTGAAGCCAAGTCTTGGTTGGAAGTGATGTTTTGAGTATAGGTGAATTCATGTTGACCAGCCTGAATTTTTGCTGTCCTGTGGAGAGCTTAACATTATCTTAGGGAACAAGCAAGTAGCTCTCACAGAAATTAGCTTTTCATCTAACCTGTTATATTTTGTTTTATTTAATACATAATGTTCTCCATATTAATGTGGATGTTTTTCTTGCAGGTCTCCCTAGCCACTTTTGCTACATTCATTAATTTGTCCCAAGAAAATATTCTGGATGCAAAAACGGCATTCGTGTCTCTTGCTTTGTTCAATCTTCTCCGCTTTCCTATTGCTATGTTACCCATGCTCATCTCTAACATAGTGCAGGTAAAGCTTTACCAAGTATTTTTTTTATATTGTTCATGTTTTATTGATAGAGTATAGTATTTGACTGATAGCTGACTATATGTATTCTGACTGATAACATTATCAGTCAGAAAATTTTGTAATTTTAATTACTGAATACATATCCTGTCTCTTATTCACAATTGCCCAGAAATATTCCCAATGAAATATTTGAAATATTTGTATAAATATTCAGAAATATTTGTTTTATAACATAGTTGTATTTGCTATCCCTGGTAGGAATAGCTTATGGTTTAGTCGTGTTTATATTTTTAATATCTTTATCCCTATAGGTTTCTGTTCAGTATCTCAAAAGCCTCAGCTTGTTGATTTGAAATTTAATATACTGTACCTAAATTTGAGAAAACAAAAAATTGACTACTATTGAAAATGAGCAATGTAGCTCCATACAAACTTTGAGCTAAGGCTCCAAGGTTGGTCGTCAAGTAAGAGCTTTATGGACCCTTAAGCCACCAGTCACTTGCCAGGCTCTAGTTGAACTAGAACCCCACCAAGATAAATAACCTTCAAAATGATTTTGTTGTTCAAGAGTTTCAACTGGACCTCGGTCACCAACTAAGCAACCACTTGCTGTCAAAGAAAAGAACAGAATTTTCCACTGAACACCCCCTGCAATTGATTATTGGAATCGGTAGAAAAACTAATTAATGGCAGCACAGGTCACCCCAACAGGGTTGGGAGAATTGGCCACACGCGTTTAGGGCCTAGCTGTCCATGGGTTTTCACCTAGCTCTGCAGTGCTCACTTAAGTTAAATTGGTTTTTCCTTGAGGAGACTAATATCTATGTAGGGGGTTCCATGCTTTGGTGTTCACTTCATAGTGTACTGCCCAGTGATTTACATGTTTTAAGACTACAGCTTTCCACTTCATCTTGGATTCAGAGGCATTTTCTCTAGTGCCAATAGGCAATACATTTTATTTGGTTTGTACCTTTTGACTACACTGCACTTTGGCACTTCCTAGGGACTTTGGATTAGGCAAGATCTTGATGCTGATTACCTTTTGAAACACACTTGGGAGTCTGTGCCTGTCATCTCCTTACTGTGAAACCACGGTAGTTCTACCCCTGGCAGATTTCACTTGAGGTTGTAAATGTAGCATGTAGCTCTTTTTTGTTTGGTTTTGTTAAGGCCATTGCTACCCTCTTCATTTTTTTGTTGTCTCTGGGTCTATGAACTTTGGCAAGTGTATACAGTGTCTTGTAACTGGGCAGCCTCCCCAAGGTTAGGCCTGAATGTGATTTGTCTACATCCAGTGCTTCTAACTTTATTGCTTTGAAATTTTTCTCTTTGGGGAAATATGACACCACTTCTCACTGTTATTAAGATGTTGCTTTATGCAGTTTCCCAGGGTGTGGCACTATGTATTTTGACACCGACAACCATCCCTGTTGCCTCTGGCATGCCTCGTCTCTAGTGCAAGAGTTTTTCACCTCGTGTGTATAACAGGAGCCAGATGTGAACTGTGAGCCTGCCAATCTTCTCATGCACTGCTATATGGCTCTTCCTATAGGATAATTCTTGAATAATCAAGACGATGTAGGAATATTTTGTTTATAACTATTACATATTTAGATTATCCATTAGACTAAGTCTGAGTTATATAAACTACATGAAGCCAGGTACAAGTACACCTATTAATTAACCAAATAATAAAGTCTGGAGCAAGCATGAACCACTTTGCTTCACCAGTTTGTTTCTTCCAGCAGGTTCAGTTTATGGTACTTGACCCTGCAATGTTTCACCTAGTTGTATTCACCTAGTTGTGCTTGCAGGGGTTGAGCTCTGTTCTTTCAGTCCGCCTCTCAACTGTCAATCAATCAACTGTTACAAACTACTAATTTTTTTTTTCTTCGCACACACACCCCCATAAAGCAACCCGTAACAGCTGTCAAACTACCAGGTACCTATTTACCGCTAGGTAACAGGGGGCATCAGGGTGAAAGAAACTGCCCATTGTTTCTCGCCGGTGCTGGGAATCGAACCCCGGCCACAGGATTACGTGTACAGCGTGCTGTCCACTCAGCCACCGGCTGAGTGGACAGCATATAATATATGCTGTCTATGCATATAATGTGCTATGCTGTCTCCCCTAATGTGCTATGCTGTCTATGCTGACTATGCATATAATGTGCTATGTGCCCCGACTATTCTAATGTGCTATGCATGTTATGAATGTAGCCAAGGGCTTCTAGTGTGAACCTTGTTCTGGCTCTTGAAATTAAAGACACGCAATATAAGAAGAGTAAAGATCAAAGAAAGATTGAGCGAAGCAGTAAAAAGGCAAGAGATTAGAAAAAGATATAATACAATTTGAATAATGAAAAGGCAGAACTTTCTGTGATCTTTCTAATGATATCAAACAAATGACTTTTCAATAATCATTGTTTGCACAATGATCGTTATAAATGGCCGAATGTTTTTATTTGTTTAAATTTCAGTTTTTGTTAATGTGAGTAGAGAAAAAAAGTATACAGTATGCTATATATACAGTTTGTATGCAGCCTCATTTATCTCCTTATCTTTTGATTTCTTGAGCAATTTAAATTTTGAACCATTGCCACTATTCTCACTCACTCGGCACTGCCAGGTTTGCTATATCTTCTCGACCTGTTTAGCATTTTTTTATGTTATGACACATTACTCAGATATGTCTGTTTTTATAATTAATTTATCATAATATTGTAATTAAGTTTTGACTAATACCCTTCTTTCTTCTAAAGGCCAATGTCTCGCTTAAAAGGATGAACAAATTTATGAATGCTGATGAGCTGGATCCAAACTGTGTATCAAGAGATTATTTAGAGAGTAAGCTCTGTTCGTTACTTAATCATTTATTGTTGATGAGCATTAACAAGTTTAATTTAACAGTTGATAAATGTTGATAATGAGTAATTTATTTCCTCTGATTAAAAAGATTTGATTAAATAAATTTAACCAAATCTATTTCAGATAAACCTATTGTAATTGAAAATGGAACCTTTGCATGGGGTCATGGTGAAGAAGACAGTAAACCAGTGCTTAAGGGCATTAATATGAGTGTGCCCGAGGGCTCACTGGTTGCTGTTGTTGGGAGTGTTGGTGCGGGCAAGTCTTCCCTCTGCTCGGCAGTTCTTGGAGAAATGGAAAAAAAGTCAGGAAAAGTAAATGTTAAGGTAAGGCATAACAGTACAGTATTATTGATATTAAGAACTTCAATAATGCTGTAGCTTTTAAAAATATTGTGTTGATATCATAATGTGTTGTAATCAGCTCTCGAGGGGTTAAAGTCTGAATCAATTAATTTTCCTTTGTGGAATAATATAAGTTATATTTTAAATTTGTGCTTTATTTTATATAACTTATGCTTTTAGCAGAATGGCCAAAGCTTAGCTTCATTCAAAACTTTGTTTTGAGCTCTTTAATTTGGCTGCACAGTCAAGTAAAATCCTCTGGCTAGCTAAATTTAACCAATATAGAAATAAGCTGAAACAGATGGGCCTTATAATGTATGCATGATCCACGGGTTACTGAACAGTGCAGCAGAAGGCGAGTTGAGAGATGCTAAATGAAGGCCTGTATCAGGATAGTTGACATGGTAAACAGAAGGCATAATAAACCATGCCTACACCAGGATAGGCCCCTAGTGAGATAAAGACTTCATTTCTCACCAAAAAGTGAGGGTTTGGAAAAATGTCATCTCAGCCAAAGATAACAAACCAAGGACACAGCAGAGCATAAGTCTTATCAACCTGGTTAGCAGTAGCCAACACCAATAAGAACAACTTCTTTAACATAATATATTCAGGGTTAGTTCAGCCAGGCAGATCTAACTTTGTATGTCTGACAATAAACAGACACAAAACCAAAGTGACAGTGTACAGAATAATAGTGAGCAGATTGCAGGAGCAATCTCTCAGCCCCTAGGAACAATGTCAGAGGTTTAAATTCCTTCTAAACAAATGCAAGAAGCCTAGTAAATAAATTTGATGCCCTGTATGCATAGAGGCTGATAAATCTGGCCATCAATGACATCAGGAAAACGGGGATCAGAAAACATAATTGAAGGGGAATTCCATATTCCAGTGTACCATCCACCTTTCAGAAAGAACAGAACAAGAGCATGTGGTGTAATGCTTTGCTGTATGTAAAAGAAGACTTGAAATCAACCATCAATAAGATATTAAATGGATCTTCAGAATCTGTATGGTACAACATACTAGCTCAGAATGGTAGCAAATTCATTACTAGCTCAGAATGATTTCAATGGGAGTATGTTACAGGGCAGACACAGAAATAACTGAGCAAGTTACTGATCTGTATAATGTGATCAATGTGGCAGCGGAAACCCAAGCCCCTATAATAGGTGACTAACCATGAGATAATAAATTGATGACTCAAATATAAGAAGCCGAAGGAGAATAATTTCTTGACCTGGTACAAAACTCTTTCTTATACAGCATGTGACAGATCCCACCCAAGGGAACAACAATCTAGATCTTGTGCTAATGTCAGAAGAGGGAGTGGTCAATCAAATACATGTAGGAGAAAAGCTCACCCCTTTATGTAATCACAATATTCTTACATGGATTACAATTATAGAAACTCGTGTAAAGATTGAAGATGATGACTTTGAAAACTCCCCTCATGGAGACTATCAAGGAATAGGAGGAATTACAAAACAACACTTGGAGGGAGTTAATAGGAGATCAAGGCATGGAAGCATCATGGGGAAAACTCCAAAAAGGTCATTCCTGAGCTTGTTAAAAAAAAAATGTGCTAGGAAAAAGAAAAAAGAAAGGAAACAAGATGGATGAACTCTTAATAACTAAGTGCAACCTCTGGAGCAGGTATCAGTCCACAAAGAACAACATATATTATGAGATATGCACAAGGACTATAACGGTAGTTTATGTACCGTATAAGAATTTTGGTCATAAGACTCAAAGAGTTTAGCAGTTTTTATATTTATAGTATTTAATATTCTTTTGGTTACAGCAGTTAGTTGTTGATGTAACAATATGTTGTGATAGCTGAGACGAGGCCTGAAGCATAGAGAAGAGAGCTTGAGTGAGGCTAAGGGTAAAGCACTCAGATGCAGGGTAAGAGCATAGAGCTTGAATGTAGGGCAAGAGTGTGTAGTTCCGATGAGGGATGAGTGGGAGAGCTTGGATGCGGGACAAGAGCTGGAAGCTTGAATACAGTCAGAATCTGGCTGTCTGCTTTGTAACGAGGCTGAAAGTGTCTTGTGAGAGTAGAAACTGGACTCGTCATGTTACATTGTTGCTGGTGAAGAAGATCTGCGGGATCTCTCGAGCAACTGTACTTATCCATTATTAGAGTTAAAATGATGATCTGTGAATTGATAGCATATATTACAAGCTTCGCTTCCCTTTGCCAAATTGACCAACATTTAGCAGGTTACCTTTTGGCTGGCCTGATTGATCCTGCACCCTTGGGAAGAAATCTTAATTATAATTAGTGCATTTAGGATTAGTGTAGAACTTCTTGGAATGTGGTATCCTAAGGGATGAGTTATGTGGAATTAACAGGCACCTCTAATTACTTGCACTAAAATGTATGAGAATATGGAGCAATTATATTACTCTTAATATAATTGCTACAGGACTTCAAAATTTATCCACCCAGGAAATCAGATAAGCCAAGAGAAGCTACAAATGAATACTTGCTCAAAACATAAAGATCCAAAAGTCTTTCCATGCCTACATAAGAAGTAAAACCAAAACTAGACTCTGTACAACCTTTAAAAGATGAGGTGAACCAATTTTTAATAAAGAATAAAATGGCAACTAGCACTGAATGAATATACTACATCAGCATTCACACTAGAGAGCTTAGAAAATAGCTAAATACCCACACAAATGTTTGAAGGAGGTGAAGAGAACAAATTAAGGGATATTCCCATAACATGCACTACAATTGGTTATGATCTGCCAGATCATAACTCCAGGCTCCTTTTCTTTATCAGTCTGCTGTATCATCGTGTTATTGGGATGTATGGTAGTTGCGTGTATTAAGGTCATGCATTTTTCAATATTGAAAAGCATTTGCCAGTTTTCTGACCATTTGTGGAGCTCATGTTAATCACTTTGCTAGGCCTCAATATGATTTTTACTTTCCACTGTACCATAGATCTGTGTGTCATATTCAAATTTTATATAGTTTGTGATTTTCTCATATGTGTATTATAGAAAGATATGTACACTCATCTCAACTTTTCATTTGGATTTATTTTCATAAATAATGGCCATTTGCTTTCTTTATTTTAAGTATTGTTTTATCTATTCTAGTATTTTGTCATTTATTCCATGTGCTTGTTGTTATTGTGCTAATGTTTCATGTGGTACCTTATTAAAAGCTTTAGAAAAGTCTGTGTACACTGCATATATTTGAAGGCCTTGCCTGTGTGGTTGTTACCATCTTTATTATCTTACAGATAACAGTCCATGTCTTGTTTACCTTTTCGTTCCTTACATATGGTTTTGGAATTTGACATTCAACTCTGAGAAGCTGCATTTACCTTTTCATCAGCTTTAGTTCTGCCTCTAACCCAAAACAGACTTTATGAAGTTTTATGAAAGTCGGTCAGTTAATAATTAATACCAGATAGCCTAGACAGCAATGAGTAAAACATATCCAACAATGATGATTCTCCTCGCCCAACTAGGTGGTTCTCCAGATGGACCTGTCAATTTTTAAATATTTTTCACACATTACATGAGGATCTTTGTCACATGCTCTCTTCCAATCTTCTCATTTACCCTAAATTTTTGTCTAATATTTATTACTAGCTCTTACTTGGATAATGTACATATAAATTTGGATTAATTTTTCTGCTTTAGTCTATGTAAAGCAATATGAGCTTTGCATTAAACTTTGTAAGTGCATTCATACAAATGCTTTGTATACATACTCTACTTATGTATGAATTTTTAAATTTTTTGTGACTATAACATTTTTACTAATACATCTATAACTTGTTTTTCAGGGTCATATTGCATATGTTTCTCAACAACCCTGGATTCAGAATGCCACACTGGAAAACAATATTCTGTTTACAAAGACGAAAGAACCAAATCGTTACAATTTGTGTGTGAGAGCATGTGCATTACAGCCTGATTTGGACATGCTTCCAGGAGGTAATCAAACTGAAATTGGAGAAAAAGTAAGTTTTCTTATTAATACAGTACATTTTCTGAAGGCTCCTTGTAGTTTGCCACACTGAGGTAACTGCTCACTGTTAAGTCACATCAACCCTTGTGAGTCATTTGTTATGTTTAGGCAGGAAAGGAAATGCACGTCTCCTCCTTAACATGGTGTTTATTTATAAAACGGAACAAAAATAAATCACTGGTATAGGTGCCCTTGCATTCCTTATAGGCAAAAGAGCGTCTGTTTTTAATATTATGAACGTATCCTAGGTAGTACTTAATCCTACTAAATTCCTTCAATTCTAACACACTAAAAGCCTACCAGAGGCTAAAACCTAAGTCCTTCAAAGAAGCACAGAAAGCAGAAGATACTTGATCACCTTCACCGAGAAATCAATCTCCCAGAAGGAAGCGAAGCACAAGACAGCAACAAGGTCAAAAGAGTAAACAAAACAAAACTCTGCAAACAATTCAACCAGTTGTTGGGTCACATCCCCTTTGGTACCCCCTTTGTTTTCCACCACCAGGCATCAGCACTACGGAAGCTGCTGGCTCCTCACATCAACAAACATTCAGTTACTTGTTTGACATCGACTACAGCTGACAACTCCACTGAGTCACCATGTCTTTGATTTCTGGATTTTTCCTATATAAATGTTGGCCATCCTTTAGACTCTATCCTGTTGGAATAGCCCATTTGTTTGGGTAACATTCCAATTTTTAATATTTGTTTAACATGTGTGTATTTATAAGCCTCACTTGTTGCATGGACTTTGGCTAGGGTTCACCTTGAGATGCATGTGTTTAGGGTTGCCCTTTCCTAAGTGCTCATTGGTATTGGCCCTTCACTGACAGTTACTTCAATGATGTGTTCAAGTGTTCATCCCAGAAAGGCAGTTCTCACAAGTAGTAGGACCTTCCTGCTCCTTTCTCCTTCAGTTCCGAGAGGAAATTGCTTTTGGTGTATTTTTACGTATACGTAAGCCTTTATTTTGTAATCAAAAGATATATTAGGATAGAAGCCTGAGCATACCTTCCTTAATGATCTAAATGCAATTAAACCCTTTCCATTATTGAATTTAATAGAGATGATGTCAATGTAGTATGTTCTATATTATGAATAATGATATTTTAGGGCATCAACCTGAGTGGAGGCCAAAAGCAGCGTGTCAGTCTGGCTCGTGCTGTATATGCCGATGCTGACATATACCTCCTTGATGACCCTCTCAGTGCTGTGGATTCACATGTGGGAAAGCACATATTTGAACAAGTGATTGGACCTACAGGGCTCTTGAAGAACAAGGTTGGTGTCCTATTTACTTTTCATGTACCATTAGGTTTAAGTTTGCATGTAAGAGCCGTTTCATTTGTACAGTGAAACCTTCAACACTCAGACCTTCAAATAAAGGCCTCGTCTCCCTAATAATAATTGAAATTCAGGTTCGTGGCTGTAACCCTTGAGAAACTGGTTTGACTATGAATATTAATTTAAATCTAATCATTCATTTTCAATATTTTTATATTTCCTGTACCGTGTGCAATATATTGAACAAAAGGATTATTTGGAGTGACCTCACTGTCTTTCCAGAGCTTATGAAATAGTACACCAGTACCAAATCCAACACAATAGGTATCTGTAATCATCTCACGGCGTTCTAGGAACAAGTACCAGAATCCTGCCCCCTCGAAATTGCAACGGAACTGAGCAAGTCGTAATACTCAACACACATGAAACCCTACCAAAATGGCTAAAAAGGGCTACAACATTATAAAAAACCCACAGAAATGTTTGGTGTGAACAAGTACCAAGAAACATTAAACTATCTCAAATACCCAAATTACCACTTTGGCACTTACCCCTCCTACAACCAGTTGGCAGTATTAGTCAACCAGGGATCTAGTGAGGCGACAACTGTCACACCAGCCCGTCCTAAGATTTCCCAACGTCAAGAAAATGGTCAATTTAAAGTGTCCTCTCCTAACCTGCCAGAGGACCCAAAACAGAAAATGGGACAGTAAGTCACTTTCACGAGCCGCTTCCATTTTCTATTACAATAATTTTTGGCCTATTAGTACATTAGTAAAGACAGCCAAGAGAGCAACATTACTTTTGCATATTATGGGCACGAGCATAAATGGCAGGCTGGCTAGACTAGATGACACTACAGACAACCTGAGAAATATGAGCCTTGGAACATGGAAGCAGGGAAACCAGATCAACCCACAAGCCGAACCAACCTTGCTTCCACAACCAAAGGGCCCCTCCGGAAGCCAACAGACTCATTCTTCCCCAGAAAAGGAGGAGCTGGCTGTAGATGAACAAAGTGCCCACCAGGACCAACAGGTCAAAAGTACTGGCACCAAAGGAAAGCATGAAACTCACCCACCCGACAACCGGAAGCCAGAGAAAGCAAAAAAAGGCTTTCTGAAAGTTGTTGTATTAAATTCAGCTACTGGAACAAAATTTCCATGTACAGTACAGTAGTCTCAAAATTTCAAAATGTTATTTTGATTTAAAAAAAATAAAAGCCCGTAATTTCAAAATTGCAGGCTATGGCGACTCCATAAAGGCTTTTCTGAAAACGATCCTGAACTGAAGGGGACACTGTAAAATGAATGGATGAAAGAAAAAAAAAGAACCTGGTCAAGAGGCCAGTTGGGCTTTGGTGGCGCATGAGCACGCCAAAGGTGAATCAGTGCACAAGAAAACTTGCAAAACGGGCTCAAGGTAGTATCGACCCCAAACGCAAATTGTAGCTGCTCCGCCAACACCGTTAAGAACGAGGCAACAGTATTCGGCATAAAATGCCAATCAAGAAAATGCCAAGAGAAAGAAAAGGCAAAACAACCCATTCTGACACAGAATAACTATGCTAGTTGGTGGGAAGTATTTATGGTACACCATCCTCTTTCCCTCCACATAGTCCTGTAGATCATACAGATAATATAAGAGGGTAAGGTTGTGGTGAGTTGATGCCATCTGGTAATGGTTATGGGTACCTATCTGGGATGGTTTGGTAGTTAGAGCACAGTTTGGCAGTCTGTATTGCCAAGTTGCATACATAGTAGTCTTTTGGGTTTTATTGTACCTACTGTCTAAGCTCTCTTATCTGGACTGTATAGGAAGGACCTCTCACTGAATAAGTCAGACATCCGGATAAGCAGAATTCTAACTAGGGAAGTCCAAAAATTTACCATATTCAGAATTTTTTATACCACAACCAGCATAGTTTGAATTTCCACACACACTATAAATTAAAAATATAATTAAAACAAATGTCGGCTTAAATTGTTGTACTGTAATTTATCTTTTGTTTTTTTATACTGTAGATCTTGAAATGTGTAGGTCTTGAAAATTTACATAACCTAATCTCCAGTTACTGTATTTGGATTTCTGTCCGGATATGGCTAAGTTTCTCAAGAAAATTATCCAGACTCGACTTACTATATGCCAGTGTGCATTATCCGGCCAAATCTATGGTTTTCCAGATCTCTGTCTAGATATGGTGAAGTTTTGCCCAAAAATTATCAAGACCTGATTTTGGACAGATAACCTAAATTTTTGGTTCAGCAGGCTTCAGATAACTTGAGCTCGTACAGACTTTTGGGCTGGATTAAATACTTTGGTATAAGATGGGGGATATTTTACAAAAGTTCTAACATGGGTTAGTGTGGATTGTTGACATACATGGCTGTGATTTTCATAAATATAAAGCTAGCTTTTCCTGCAGTTATTGTGAATTTGCTAGTCCTTTACTATAATTATATAAACCTTAATCATATTTATTCAAATGTTGAACCATATACATAAGTCACCTGAATCCTTATCATTAATATTTACAGACTCGCTTGTTGGTGACCCATGGTTTGACATATCTACCTCAAGTAGACAAGATAATTGTCTTAAGCAATGGAGTTATCACTGAAGAAGGAACCTACAGAGAATTGTTAGAAAGAAAAGGAAAATTCCAAGAATTTCTCCTCCAGTATTTATCTGAGGTATCAGAAGAAGATGATCCCTTAGAAGGTAGGCTTAATTCAAACATGCTGTTATTCTTAGCTAATAGCAGTATTAGGTGTCTCTTTGAAATGTTTTTAGAACATTTACTCACTGCTGGTATAATCATGTTTTGATTGTTTAAAGAAAAAAGTTAAATTTTTTTTATCTAATTTGTCTTAAGCATTTATAGTTTATAGTTTGTCTTTTAACTGTTTCATATTGTAAAAGTCAAATTGTTTACACAAATTGTAATTTGGGTTGTAAGCATTGACTTTTAGGCCATTGTGAAATGTGTTTGCTTTTTTGTGGTTAAATTGGTTTTGTTGGTGGGTGGCAAGAATTAGTAGATTTTAGCAGCTATTTAAGTTTTTGTAGTACTGTGCAAAGCTGTAGGTTCTTTATGTAGATCTCAGATTAGGTGTTTTTTCTTAGATCTGGAAGACATCAGACAACAATTGGAGAGTTCTCTGGGCAAAGAGGTAATAGAGAAACAGCTGTTCCGGCAGAAGAGAGAGAGTGAGAGTGAAGGCAGTGCAGAGAGGGACAAGTTAGTGCTGTAATGCTGTGTACTCTATTTTATTAACTTTTTTACTATCCTCTACTTTTATGTAGTAAGAGTATTTGACATGTGGTTCTGCACCACGATACCTAATGAATGCCATTTCTAGACAAGTTTGACCATTGCTCTGTTTAAAGTAGTTTGCAATGGATTTTCTGAAAATTTGTGGCAATGTGAATTATCCATGTTCAGATTTTTACCAGTAGATAAACAATATAGAGAATAGCCTCAATAATCTGGCAAACCCAATACCAGATATTATTTTCATTGAACACTTTAATTTATCCAGTCCAAGATAAAGAATAGCAAACAATCATGTTATACAAGGAAATCAAACTGGAAATAACCAACCACAGGTCAAAGAACTACTTAGTTTCTGTGACAAATTTTCACACAACCAACAGATCAGAGCCAACTAGGAAGAAAAATAATCTAGATCTGATCTTCACAAACAATGAAGAAATAATCAGAAAGGACATTACCATTTCAGATACCACATACTCAGTTCACAAGCTCATTGAAGTACTATTAGCTATACAGTACAGTACTTCAAAATCACTTAAACTACTATGTAGCTTATTTAGTACTGTTCTTATGATGACTGCAATTTTTATATTGTTTTCTCTTTTATACAAACAATATTTTGCTTGAATTAGTTTTCTTGTGATTAATCGATATTTGTTAGACATGACTCCGTTTTCGTTTGTGTGGGTCAAGTTATTTAATTTCAGCCAAAATTTTTACTTATTCTCTACATACAGTACTTTGTTTCCTTTTTATTTTATTTTTAATACTTCAGCTGAGTAAAATCATAATTTTTATAAGATTTAGAGCTTGATAATTTGTGACTAAATGACTAAAACAAAGTAAACTTAATGTGGATGGAAAAATTGTGTATGAAGAACTGATGATGATAATTAAGGTTGCCTGTTATATTTTAATTGTTTCCTCAATATCCACCCCACTGCAGCAAAGATGGTTACCATCGACGGGGCAGTAAAAAGATCAGTGAATCAGAGAAGGTGCCGTCAGATGTGAAGCCTGGAGATAAAATTATTGAAGCTGAGAAAGCCGAGACTGGAAAGGTAGACCACGGTTACATATGCTCAGAAAAATAAGTTACATTTGAGAGCTCTTTGTTTTCTTTTTTTCATTGTTTTTAATATTTATTTTTAAAATCAAAGTTTTATGCATTGCCCATTTTTGTGAACCAGTGTATGTACAGTACAACCTCAGTTCAGCAAACTATATGGAGCCAACCCCAAATCATTGCATTCAGGAACTTGTTGCAACGAGAGATGCCTCCAGGATGCATTTCCCATGCCCTATGGACTAAATTACCTTAGCAAAATTTTTGTCTCGACCTATAATAGACAACTTCCAATTGAACTTGTCTGCACAAAAATTTAACCTCATCTAGCTTATTTCTCATGTCCCCAACCTCAAAACTCGTTTTCAAAAGGTAGCAGGGCCATATCTGAGTGAACAAAAACCTTGCTAACTCAAAATGTAAACAAACCCTTGAATTTGGTTTTAATATCCTCAACAGCTTTCCCAGGGCTCCAACTATTTCACGTAATATCAAGACAATCTACAAAAATCACCAGAAACGTGACTGGAGCCGTATTAAAAGAGTTACCATTCATAAACTAATATTTCCCATGTTCTATGGGTTGATTTCTCCGAGCAAAATCAGCCATATAAATGACAGAAATGAGAACTGCCAAGAGAATCTGTCTGTAAAGAAATGTAACTACATCCAGCATATTTCCCCATGCCCTAGCCTTGAAATCTCATTTTCAAAGGAAAAAGGGCCCATATTAATGAACGAAAACCGGTGAAACTCAAAATTAATGACATTGGTAAGGCAGAATTCTTGAGACCTGGAACTTGGAGCACGAGGTTATCGATTTAAGCTAACTAAAAGGAACTGCTAAAAGAAATGTAAGAAAATTCACTTTTACACAGCTTGTAAGACAGAACAAGTTAACAAGTAGAACAACTAGACGGAACAAGTGAGAAGGTGGAGGAGGCCAAAACCGTCAGTAATTTCAAAGCATAATACGACAGTACTGGGAAGACAGGACACCTCAAGTGTAGCTCTCATCCTTTAAGTACACTTTGGTAATTACACACACATGCACTCACTGTCACACACTGTCCCTGAATTGAAAGGTATGAGCTATGAGGAAATGCTACGGGAACTAAACCTCACATCCCTGGAAGACATAAAGGCAAGGGGAGACATGATCACCACCTACAAAATTCTCAGGGGAATTGACAGGGTAGACAAAGACAAACTATTTAGCATGGGTGGAACATGTACAAGGGGACACAGGTGGAAACTTCGTACCCAAATGAGCCACAGAGACATTAGAAAGAAGTTTTTCAGTGTCGGAGTAGTTAACAAATATAATGTATTGGGCAGTGATGTGGTGGAGTCAGACTATACACAGTTTCAAAAGTAGATTTGATAGAACTCGGTAGGCTCCAGAATCTGTACACTAGTTGATTGACAGTCTAGAGGCAGGACCAAAGAGCCAAAGTTCAACCCCCGCAAGCACATCTAGGTGAGAACTTGCTTCAAACCTTGCTGCCCACCACTAGTGGAAGTCCAACTGGCTAAACTGGATCAGTGAAGTGTCTGCCTACTCTTATGCCTAGCACTCCCCTACTATATGGCACTCTGCAGACATCATACCATATGATGGACAACTACCAAGAGCATCTGTATGTAAAGAGATTTCTTCCTCATTTCCAGTATTTCTGAGGATCCATCATCTTGAAGGATATTTTTCAGAGGGAAGACTAAGATACATACTAATAAACCAGGCTCATCACTTTTCCCATGCCCAAAACTTTCTTAAACTAAAGATATTCTATGAAATATCTTATGAAGTCGCTCTAATAATAAATAATTAGTAGCGAGATATGGTTTTGTAACCATTTTTAGAATAACATTTCTGGCACTTCCACAGATGTAAATATTGACATCCACTGAGCAATTAAAATACAAGAATATATACAAATTAGACAAAAATATGATCATCAGGATATTACTTTGCCTAATGATCTGGATTTGAGACATTTTTTCTAAATTCAAAATTTGGATGGGAAAACAGGCGATCAAATTTTGTCGGTTGTTTAGAGGTACAGTATGTATCTGTTATAAGGAAGTCCAGATTTGGGAGGTGCCTGTTTAACATTGAGACATTGATTCTTTTCTTTAAAATTGCTTCTAACCATTATTATTCCTGTATTCAGATATTTGGAAATTTCAACATTGGTCAGTGGATGACTGGCAGCTCTATTATAATCTCCTTGGTTCAGAATCCTTCATTTAAGAGCATTAAACTGTATCTTCCAATAATTTTATTCATTTAAATCATGCATTCAGTGGTCTTTGTGTTCAGATCTACTTGAGAATTCAATCATTAGTTTGTAATTCAGCTTTTAAGTTATTTTCTTGATTGTAACCATTGTCCAGTCATATAAACTCAGTTCACAGATATCTAGCAAAATAAGTTTGATAATACAGTATAGTATTTCTCCTTTGTGTATCATTAAAAAATGCACTGATGAAAATCTCTCATTTCAGGTCGACTTTGGCGTGTATCGGTATTATATCCAAGCCATTGGTGTTTGGTCCACTGTGTTGACACTTGTGTTTTATGTATTTTCTCAAGCCTCTACATTGGGCTCTAATGTATGGCTCTCAGTGTGGGCTGAAGATACTGACAATGATACCAAAACAAGAGACATGTATCTTGGGGTCTATGGAGCTTTAGGTTTCGGACAAGGTTAGTGTTTTGGATTATTTATCTGGCATTTCTCATATATTTCCAGTGAATTTGACCTCTAAGCATACTAGTAAGGAAGGTTTAATAGCACTGCTCCAAGTGTTTGTATCAATGTTTGTGTGTGATGTGGTGGTGTTCAGCTGAAAGTATTGATTATGGAACGCAGCTTTTCTTGTAAATATTTAAGTTTTTGTTTAAAAATTTAATAAATTTGATTAACTCTTAAAGTGCTTTTAATGTTATACAGTACATTGATTCACTGGGTAATGTGGTTATCATGTGCTGACTTGAACTATTATTGTACGGATTTTATGCCAATAAGGCTATTATGGCTATAATAGCTCTATATGAATATCTTGGGGTTTATCTTGACTCATGGAAAAAGTATTTTTATCATTTCATGATTGCTTATTAAGTAAATGCAGTGATTGTTTACAAATGTTACTACGACACTGCAGTAATCATCTTGGTATAAAATTCCTTTATATAATTATATAATGTTCATAAGGTTTTTCACAACTCTGGTTGTAATGAAGTGTACCAGTTCAAGCAATCATTTGAACATAATAATAAAGAAACTGCAGAAGGCCTATTGACCCATACAAGGCAGTTCTATTTATGTCCTCCCAAACTCATTCATATGTACCCAGTTGTATGTATGTACAGTACTACAAGAGAGAGGTGTCTGTCCAAAGTTTGAGGCCAGACGCTTGGTGCTAGCCTCACTCAAATTTGTAGGGGAAATGGTGTGGGGCATGGGATGGACATAGGCTGCTTGGGGTAGGCTTAAGTTTAATGCTTTAAGCAATATAGCATGTAACTCAATACCGAGGGATTTTCACGAGGTCTGAAATGAATCTAGGATGAAATCAAGAATATGATGTCCATAGAGTGTGAAGTTATTCCGCCATTTACCCACGCAATTTCTTTGAAATATATTTTCTAGAGACAGGAAGGAGGAGGGGGAAGTGGAGGGTGAGAAAGGTGGGAGCATAAAGGGAGGGGAAGGCCAAGGTGGTGGTGAAGGGGGAAGCATGAAAGGCAGGCCAAGGTGGTTGGGAAGGGATGAAGGGAGGGGATAAGACCTTATATTGTTGTTTGTCTGTCTTAATACTGTAATACATTTTCTGAGAGGTCACACAGAAATAACACCAAATGAGACCAGAAGGCATGGCAGGATGTGCAAAATAGCCCTACTGAAAAACAGAGGTGCAATAAGCACGCTGAGAGAGAACTCGATCAACATCAAAGCCCCAAAACTTTTCAACACACTTTCCCTACATGTACAAGGCATAACTGGCCGACCTCTTGCAGTGTTCAAAAGAGAATATGACAAGCACCTTCAAAGGATATCTGATCAACCAGGCTGTGATTCATACGTCAGGCTGCAAGCAGCCGCATCCAACAGCCTGGTTGATCAGACTAGCAACCAGGAGGCCCGGTCAGAGACTGGGCTGTGAGAACATTGATCCTCAAAATCATATAATGGACAACTTCCAATTGAACCATACAGTTGTTTCAGTCCTTAATAATTAACTTTCTGAGAGAAGTGGGAGAGGGTTGAAAGTGGGGAGGAGAAAGGCTAATAGGATAGTGGGGGGAAAGGGGGAGGGACCAAGGGGGACCAAGGGGGACCAAGGGGATGGAGATAATAGGGTCAAGGGGAAGATGGGAGAAGAGAAAATATATGAAATTTCACAAAACAGTCGTTGCAGTTTCATGTCGTTTGCAGGGGGGGGGTGTCGTTGTAGTCATTCCTTTGGCCACCTGACATTGGCAATTTTGGGAAATTGGGTGTGTTTTGTCTGGTTCCCCAAACTTTCCTCAGTCCCTCTTGGTCATAGTCCTAATAATTATAGTACTTCACCTGCCTGCAGTGGTTTGGGATTTCTGTATCTTTCAGAGTGGTTCTTTGGTGCTTTTCTCTCTTTTGTCTGTCACATATTCCAGGATCAGTCTGACATTTGTAATATACAAGGTCTTTAGTAATTTCTAACCTCGGATTTCTAAAAAAATTCGTATGTTGATCAACCTATCATATATCATTAATGTCTGTGATGTGGGCTTTCAGGAGACAGGTTTGATGCCATATTAACTTCAATGTCTTCGATTCTGATTTTTGAAGGATTTCATTATCATTTGGTACTTTGTCTGGCCACCTGTTCTCAGCTCTGTTTCATTACTTTGCACATGACTGAGCTAAACTCTAGTAGCCACTTGTTAGATCATTCTTTTAGTATGCTGTATCCAGTTCATCTTGTAGCTTCTTGCTATATACCTCAGTTGGGATTTTCATTCCATTGCGTCTTTCCTTGCCTTGGTTGAATGGTCTACTTTTTTTACATTTCCCTTGGCTCTGTGTGAGCCCATATTGTTCCTGGCAAGTACCTTTTCCAGTTGGTGTGTCCTAGCTCCTATGCATGGTTCCTATTTCCCAGGAAAAAGGAAATTCCGTTAGTCTTAATCCATGGGAAGATGAAATTGATGGAATCTGTGCAGCACTGGGATGTTAAGGCCCATAAGTTGAATGCTAAGCAGCATGAGGAGACATTATTTCTAAACTGAGGCCCCATACTCGAAGGCAAGTACAGTCAGGCCAAGTAGCCAAATTCTAAAAAGTCAAATGCATTACCTTAACCTCCAGAGAATAGTAGTAGTAGTAGTCAGATAAAGAGCCTGACCCATGAACATACTCTTACCCCACACCAGTTATGAAAAGGGGAATCCCCTTCCAACTGGGCCACTGACAACCTCAGATGAAGGTAAGATAGAGCACATGGCTCCAGATAAAACTTGCTGTTTAAAAATGCCCTCCTAGGAAAAGAACTAAAGAGGAGAATGATCACTGCTGATGCATGAACTGAATAAACACAGATAAAATAACTACTGGTCTATGTGAGGAAAAAAACAGAAGCATACAAATAGCTGTGTAGCCACACAGGATCTCTTAACTGAATTATGGGGTCTCAGTGAAGATTGTTAGCCAATGAAGAACCATGATAATTCTGACATGCTACTTACCTCACATTATTCTGGTTTCTCTATTGTCAATGTAAGTACAGTATTGTAATATCTTGGCAATCCAAATGAATTCGTGTTCACCATTTTTGAGTAATAGGGGTGAATGAGCAGGTAAACTGCGGGAATGCACAGATAAATGGCAGCAGTAAGCAGATAAACAATGAAAATATGAGGGGTAAATGGCAGAAGCAACTGGCTTGTACAAAAAACTAGGGAATTTGTTTTATTACCTGAATTACCTGAAAATATTTTCCTGTATATTTTATGAACATAGTTCCTTGCAACTTGATTTTGAATATATAATTTAAACTATTATACATACTGATAAGTGTATTCTGTGCTTGTATCACTGAATATCAATAATATTTAAGACTGTCTTTCCTTCCCCTTACTCCTAATTGAAATTTTGTTTATTGGTCATCTATATAGTTGAAACTTTATGGAAACCAATTGCATTTGACTGAAATATGTTTGTTCTGCAGCACTTTTCATCCTGGCTGGAGCATTTTCCTTGTCATTCGGTGCTGTTGATGCTGGAGCCAAACTTCATGCCGATATTCTTCATGGTGTCATGCGTTTGCCAATGCACTTCTTTGATACAAATCCTGTTGGGCGTCTAATCAATCGATTTGGCAAGGACATTGACACTTTGGATAATGTTTTACCTTGGAGTCTACGATCATGGCTATTATGCTTCTTTACGGTATGTGGTTTAGGTTCTTAACGTTCTCGTTGCTCTTCGAAAACACATTTTGCAATTTTGGACTTAAATTATTGCAATATGCTCTATTTGTTGGATGTATTGATTGGGCTACTGTAGATTTGAGATTAATGTAATGTAGGATTATTTTTCTTTGAGATCTTGTTTCTCTAAAAACTATGCAGTCATTCTTATTTGATGTACAAAGTAAAAGTACAAAGTAAACCACTCACAGTGCATGGTAAAGGGAACAGGAATGAATGTTTACCAATAACATTTTTGGGGTCTAGGTCAGTATCAATGACAGAAAAATATTACAGAATATCGTGCCCCAATTGGCTGGAAATTTGTGAACTAGATTGGTTTTCATAAGTACAGTATGTGGGAATAAAGATGCTGTGGTGAAAATTACCTTAAATTTATTTTGACCTTAATTTTTCTGCTACAGTGGAGATTCAAACCTCAGACCTCTAGATTGCTTGCACAGAATGATAGCCTAACTACTCTCCCAATGTTTTATGGTCTCTTATAAAAATAAAAAAGGTGTTCATTGTTTTAGACCTCTCAAGCATCACAATTTATCTCCACTCCAACTCCTTAAGAGTTCAGTGCTATTAGATAAGGTCAGTTATTCCACAGTATAAAGTGAGAAGTGCAGTAAAGTGAGGCATTATTGTTCAACTCTTGAATAATAGAAAGTTACATGTTATTTAGCAAATCTAAGAGTCAGTTTCAGTTGTTAAGCTATTAAGTTACTTGGACCATTCTTTATATAGCAAAAAATATTTGTAATATTTTCTTGGCTTGTATGGAATTAGTGCTTCTTTTTCTTATAAGTAATACAAATGAAAAGGAACTATTGGCAGTGGTTCAAATTAAAAAATGCCCAATAAACCAAATCATAAGGGGGGTTAGATGTGGCTGCTTATAAAGTATTCAGTAGCATAGTGTGGCTTCTTTTTTTAAGTGCTATTTATTGAATATATTGCAGTAGTAATGTTCTGTATACAGTACTAAAATTTCTACTACAGAGATTAACAAGAAAAAAATAAACTCTAATCTAAGGTAAGCATAAAAAATCCAAAATTTTTATTCCCCCCCCCCCATAGTTTACCTTTAAGTACAGTACAATTTTTTTAAAATGCATTTTTATACAAAATTTATTGTTGTTCTGTGCAAGAAATGGCAAAAAATGGGGAAGCTCTAAGTAGAGCTTCCCCATCCTCCATCGTCCCCCCGTCCCATCCCAAATCCTTATCCTGACCCCCTTCCCAGTGCTATAGTCGTAGTGGCTTGGTGCTTTCCCCTGATAGTTCCTTCCCTTCAGTAGATCAGATGCCCGAGAAGAACAGAACAGGTCTAGTCTCAATTAATCTGTTTTAGCAGTGCACCATGGCATAATACTGATTTGTTATTTTTAATCTCATTTTTATTTGTATACAGGGGAACCTCCATTACCTGTACCTCCATTTTTGGATTATCTGATATTATTTCCAGTCCTCTTCCCCAATTTGTCATGTCCTTGGCACAATTTGGTGGTAGAGGACACTTATTTATACTGTACTATAACAAGCAAATGTAATTAGTTTCCTACCAAGGTTTGATTTTTAAGCAGGAGAAAAATGTTTGGGTACATTTCCTCTCATCCACATTTGTTATCTCAAGAAAATGGATATGCTTGGATTTGAAAAAGATCAGATGGCTACCTAATTTTAATTGTGAGGAGTTCTGTATATTGACACATTTCATTTTAAATTCTGTTTTTAAAGGGTTAATAAAATTGATGTTTGCCTGTCGATGATTTCGAGGAGCAATATTCCCGCAGCCCAGTCTCTAACCAGGCCTTCTGGTTGATGGTCTGATCATCTAGGTTATTCGATGTGGCTGCTCGCGGCTTGATATGAATCCCAACCTGGTTGACCAGGAATCCTTTTGAAGTTGTTTGTCAAGTTCTCTGTTGAACACTGCAAAAAGTCGGCTGCTCCAAATGTGTGGAGGGTGTATTGAAAAATCTTGGGCCTTTGATGATGATAGAGTTCTCTGTGTGCCCATTGCACCTCTGCTTTTCAATAGGGCTATTTTGCACATCCTGTTACAGAAAATCTTGACCCAAATAAACGGTTTGGATTATGGAAAAGTCAGTGTTCCCATTTTGAAAGAAATTATATGATTGCTTTTCATTTTAGATGATATAAGTTTTGGTAAGTTTCATTCAGTGGAGATATGAATTTGGCTCAGCAAAGATGCCAGAAATGTTCTGAAAATGGTTGAGTCTCCCTTTAATTATTTATTTGATCTGGTTCCCAAGATATTTCATAGAAAATCATGAACTAAAGAAAAACTTTTTAAGTAATGGAAAATCAATGGGCCTGGTTCATGTACACTATTAGAAGAGTGTGACTCTTCATTTGAAAAAAAAAAAAAAAATGTTTTATTGACATACTGGAAATGAGGTTGAAATCTCATTACGATCAGGTTCTCTTGGTAAATGTACATCACATGATACATTTAAAGTTTCACTGTGAAATTACAGTAGACCATAAGGAATGGAAAATGATTTTTAGGGATGATTTTTTTTTTTACCCTCAGGAACACTTGATTCCAGAAGGTACCACAGTGAAGAAGGTTAATAAGTTGTAAACGCAAGTAAGAATAATTAAATAATTCCAGTTCTCTGGATTTATTTGTTTTTGTTTGTGTTTTTGTCTTTACTTCTTGCATTGGCAGTTCAGCCTTCCTGAAGGACACACACAAATGTTTATACTCTTTTTGCATTTGCCAAGTTATTCATTGTTTTAACTACTATATGAATTTAGTACCAAAATATTTGGACACAAGTTCAACAGTACAGTTACAAAAAAAATATGAATATGGTTTATGGGGTGGCAGTGCAGAATATGGAATTTTTAAACATATCAACATTGCTTGTTTATTTTATCGTAAATTTAAGTGTCCCCTCGGTAACTCCTTAAGCTTACTCACAACAGAGCCTCAAGAGGAGAGAGAGAGAGCAAGGGAGCATCCCTGTACAAGAATGTAAGAACTCTTGTATAGTATATCTCAAAAAAAAGAGGAGGCTGCTGAAAGGAAAATGAGTGAAATAGAACATGCAATGTGGGCTTACCCATGGAAAAAACAGGTAAAGAAGAGGGCTGGGCTGAAGAACATCAGGGGTGTGCAAATTGCCCAAGTGCCATGCTGGCTCAATTAGGCTGTGAATCATTTTATATGGATGTAAATCCCAGTACATACAGCAAAAACTTGCAAATTTGGGCTTCAGTAATTTGGATCTCTGGGTAATTTGGGCAAAATCAAGTCAGTTCAATTATGTTTATTTAGGTGAACCTCCCCTAACAAATACTTGCACTACAAATATTTTCTCTAACATATACTTTAAAATTATTTAAATATTTGTATAACATAATAAATATTTATTCTAACAAGTAAGACACAATAAAACACTTCATTATGTGGTGGCATATTTTCTAGCTATGGAACACATGGCCCCACTTTGTTAATATCTATTGATTCTCAAGACCTTCCACTTAGTTTAGTTCACTTCACAATCACTGCTATTGTTTCTATGTGAGTTTTCATCTACTCTGATCTGTAACAATTTGTGTTTCTTGATGGTTATTCTTCAGTGCTGTACTTCACCTTTCTAGTATATGGGTGTTTGGAGTAGGTGTGAATGTTTGGTCATGTGGGTGTGGGTGTCAGTAGTAGGTTTGGGTTTAGAAATTGGTGTGGATATAGGGAATGGGTGTGGGTGTAGGTTTAAGTGGGTGTCAGGATCGGTTGTGGGGAAAGGGTTTTGTTTTGGATGTTGGGGAGCTTGGTGTAAATGTACAACATTTAGAGGTTGAGAGGTTGACAGTGTTGTGAACCTGCCACTACAATATTAGTGGCAAGTCTCGCTGTAGGAGTAATGAACTCAATCCTAGTTTTTTTAATTGTGCACTCATAAATAAAGTTATTCAAAACTCATACTATATTAAATACAGTACATGAAAACAAGTGATAAATGATCAAAGAAACATCCAAGGTGAACAGTGGAGTCGTATCTTATATATATGACAATGTCAGCAGTCATTATTGGATGCCGAATGATCGCTACCACATAAGCTTTCACAGCTCGTCCAAGCAGTAAAAAAGTACATATTTATATTTTTAAGTTTTTCTTAAGTTTTACATACAATTGAATAATTCTTTAAGATTTTTCTGCATTACTCCAATTGATTCTCTAGAAATAATAATACAGTAATAATAATAGTGAGCACGAGGGTGTTAATGTTTAGCTAGGAACTTTCATCACCCATTTGTAAAATGATAAGATTTAATATTACTGAGTGTGGTAGCATTGTCAGTATTCTTTGATGATGTTTTCAGTTGATCTGGTGACATATTTTTGGGAAAACTCTCCATATGGTCAAGGACCTTCCATAGGAAGGTCCTTGACTACTGAGAAAACACTAAGCATGATAATCTGATACAATATTCATGGTAGCATTGTGTATCAGTGTGCTTTGATAATGTTCTCATTTGAGTCAAAAGAACTTAGATTTGGTGTGTGAGCACCAGTACGCACTTTGGGTTCCATGTGTGTATCGTTTTCCTCATTGTTTTTGTAATATATGTAATATAAATAATTTTTTACATATAGTAACGCATCTTTCTTGTATATATCATATTGCAGTAAAAAGGCCATAAATCTGCCTGAAAAAAAGAAAAAGAACAAAAAATATATAACATTACACATTAGATTTGATGCATTTTTCTTAGATTTTTGTAAAAAGCATTGAACCTGGGATAATTAAATGTGATTTTTATTACAATTTTACCTTTTTAGATACCTTTCATATTTAAACAAAATTTCAGTATACCATATTTAATGAGTTTTTGGCATTGGGGTTTTGTTTCATCCAGTGATGCAGATGCTATAAGGTTTCTTAGTTGTAGATGCTTGATCAGTAGTGACCAAGTACTTGCGACCTTACCTTAGGTGAAATTGTCCATTAGTTATTAATATCATCAATATGATATATAAACTTTGCTGAGTGCAGATTAAGGTTTGAAGGGACATATCAAAATATAGTGCACCATTACCTTTATATTTTGTATTTGATTTAACTATTATACAAAATGATCCTTGTCAACAAGGTCTGATCACTCGGTTCTGGTTATTATGTAAAATGTATATGTTTTTATACATATATATTCAAACATGGTTGGTTATATTTCATATTTCAGTCATTGGTGACTTATTTGCTGAGATAAAAATCTCAGTCATGATGGTAGAAGCATCTGCAATTGTTCATCAAAAGTTGCTGCACAATGTGCTGAGACTCCCACAAACATTCTTTGACTCAGTCCCAGTTGGTCGACTCCTCAGTCGATTTTCTAAGGATGTAAATAGCATGGACGTCGTGTTACCCGATTTGATGAATGAGTTTACCTATTGTGCTCTTGAAGTAAGTAGAACCTTTTGTGGAAGTAATATTTGCAAGTTCTTCTCTAGCCTTACTCACATTGAACTGTTTTCTTTCCTTCAAACTTGAATCATATTTTCTATTTTCATTTTCTATTAATAAATTGTTCATTATTTGTACCTTGCTTGAGCAAATTTTCATTGCAATCATATTTTTATCATCCAATCTGCAGTTTATAGATTACAATGTAAATAAATTATAGCTTTTGACATTTCAAACCTGCAAAATGTTTCCTAATTATCACCTTGAAATTGTGTTCTCAATATTCCTCTCTTAAACGCGAGAGAAGCGAAAGCTCTTGTCTTGATGGCATACCCTATTTAATTTTCACTTCCTTCTCAACAAATTTGGCATAAGACAATACTTATTTACTCATACCACTTCCTGACCAGAATTATTTAATGTTGGTTAACCTTTTTGTGTATCCCCTCAGTTGCTCCCTGTTGGTTATGCTGTCACCATTATCAGTCAGACCAGCCAGTATCCAGTGTATCAGTCAGACCAGCCAGTATCCAGTGTATCAGTCAGACCAGCCAGTATCCAGTGTATCAGTCAGACCAGCCAGTATCCAGTGTATCAGTCAGATCAGCCAGTATCCAGTGTATCAGTCAGACCAGCCAGTATCTCTTGCCCACAAGTGCTGTAGGAAATTCTCCTTGTCACCTCTACTGAGTAGAGCAGATGGGAATCAAAGATAAACTTGATACCAATGCAAACCGCCCATAAAAGCATAGAAAGGAGACCATAAAATGCTGACACTCACTCATAGAAATATTTTGAGTCTTAAAATATCGAAAGAAAACTGACAAGTACAGTACCAAACAAGCACACTAAATAATCTCTCCCTCCCCCCTTCCCACCATGATGCAGGCTGGCCCACTCCAGCTGCAATGAAACTACCCCATTATTGCTCCTGTCCCCCAGTTCACCATATTTTGGTATCTTACAAGTCTACCCAAAGGTAAATGCTCACCATTCTGTAGAACTAGTTGGTCTATGTGTAAGGGTTCATGCTTCTGCCATTTAACGAGCTTGTAAGCTGTTCACATTGATTGTTTCTTGTTGCTATTCTTCACCTTTGATTTAGTTTCATGATTTCCTTCCCTGGCTCTCAGCAGTGACTTCATCACCAGTTATCTTCTGTGGTATTCGGTTATACCTTTCAGAAGCTCCTATCCAAGGTTTCTCAAACATTTTTTCACCATGATGGTGCAGTGGAGTGTGCACATGAGAGTATGAAGTGGACCTAAAAACAGTTTTCCACCTTGATGGCATAACTATACTGAAGCTTCATTCAACATGGGTATGGTGGAAACACAATAAACCATCTGTGTGTATCTTTAATCTTTTATCAGAAATGCTTGTAAAGAACGGTGAACTGTCACAAGTAGCAGTCGGAGGTACCATGATTCCCACAATGATAAACACTGTTTGGAATAAACTGACTGTTAAAGATAGTGTGCTACAACACTACCTTGAGTCTCTACCTACCTCTCTACACTACCTTGAGTCTCTCATCACCTCAAACGAGGTGATGCGTAGGCCCAGCGTTGAGTGCAGTGTATGAAGGTTGTTGCAACTTGGGTGCAGACTGTGTGAAGCTGCAAGGTTCATCAACAACTGTTTCCAAGATTATCACACCCTCCAGAACTTTTGTGTTTTTAATGGTGCATAAACATGTAAATAGTTATATATAAAGTTTGTGTGTGTGTGCAATGTGGTAATGACAAAAAGACTATTGTTTTAAGAATTTCATATACTGTAGTGCCTGTAATAATGTCAGCCACTATCTCACCACAATACACCTACATTTGGTGTGGATTGGGTCAGCAATAAAATTAAATTATAAATATTTTGTTTTGTTTTAGGTGCTATCAACATTTTTGGTAATAATCTACTCGACTCCTATCTTTGTTGTGGTTATGTTGCCAACCATGATCATCTACTACCTTGTTCAGGTAATTATACCTATTTGACTATATATTTTTATCTAAGCTGTATGTTGCAAAGTACATGGGAATGTCACAATCATTATCACTACCCAACTTCCCGTGTTTATGAGGTGGTCACAGTGTCCAAACTAGATATCTCTTTCATTTGCCATATCTTTTACATACTGTATTGCAGTTTCAATGAATTAACTCCATTACTCTCCATTAATACAGTTAACCAAATCACCACATTTCCACTTTATACAGCCAGGTGCAAAGTGTTTAAAAAATACTGTTTCAAATATTTTATCTTAAAGTTATCCAATCTCATCTAATTTTTTTTCCTGAGTCTGTGTAAAGTTTCTTAAACTTGATAAACAGGGCTTCAACACATTTGTGTTTTATATTTATAGAATTTGTATGTGGCCACATCTAGGCAGCTGAAGCGCATTGAATCAGTTTCCCGTTCCCCCATCTACTCTCACTTCCAGGAGAGCATACAAGGTGTGTGGTTCTAAAGCATCATTTTCTTTTACTATGTATATTACACATTGTATGTATTAAATAGCTTATTGTATGTATTAAATAGCTTAAGATTAAATACAGTACTACAACATTAATAAATTACTTCTTATTATGGCCAGAAACACTACAAAATTTAATTCTCTATATTATTTTAAATACAGTCTTAAAATAAAATACAATATGAAGCCAAACCCATCGAAGTCTTACCGTCAGATTTGCATATTTTACACTAGCTAGGAAATTAATGGAAGTTTAAATTTTTATATCCAAGTTTAATTAAGTAAAATGGGAAAGCAACTTGTTTTGATAATATATGAAGTATGCAGATAATGAGTCACAGTAACATGGCTGAAAAATGTTGACCAAACCACACACCAGTAGATGAAAAGACAACGACGTTTCAGTCCGTCCTGGACCATTATCAAGTCAATTGTGATGAGACGAGAGAGGCACGGGCATAAGTAATGTAAGAGAGAGGTGAGGAGAGGAAAACTTAGAGGAAGGTAAGAGCAAGGCAAAAGATAGGTGTAATAAAGGGTATGTAAGGGGTAATAATAGGAGTAAACAGGAACAAAACAGAAAGTAAAACAAAAAGAAAAAAAGAAAAAAAGGATGGATAGGTTTATGTTTGGTCACGTTTCTTAGAAAGTTTGGAACATAGATGACGTCCGAAATGTCGTCGTTTTTTCATCTTCTAGTGTGTGGTTAGGTCAACATATGAAAGTACTGTAGGAGGAATTTTAGGAAGAATGTAAATAAAATTAGCCTGAGATACTGCATCTGTAAGACAAGTAGAATTGGTGTAACTGTAGTTTAAATAATAGACAAAATGAACATATAATAATAGTTTTTTTTTCACAGGGGCATCAACCATCCGAGCATACAGTAAGAAGCAGGAGTTCATCTTAGAATCTGAGAGAAGAGTTGATTCCAATCAGATTTGTTACTACCCAAGTGTGATGGCAAACAGGCAAGTTTTAGAACATGTAATGGCTTCTTATATACTAGCACTGTGTGTATATATTTCCTAGTTTGTTTTATGTAGAATTTCAATTCTAGCTACCTGTAAATTAGATTGTTTCATATTGTATAACATGTAATTTATGATGTTCACAGATGGTTGGCAATTCGCCTGGAGACCATTGGCAATATATTGACATTTTCTGCAGCTGCATTTGCTGTCATGAGTCGAGGCAGCATCAGTGGTGGGATAGTGGGATTATCTGTCAGCTATGCACTATCTGTAAGTGTGTTCAGTACTTATGCAAAGTCACAAAATTTATTGGCATTATACTTTCTTCAAGTTTTGTTAAGTTATAAAATCTTATAAAAGGTTAGAAACAAAGTTATAACTAATCTTATAAGTCTTAAATATACATGCACCTCTTAAAAAAAAAAAAAATTGAATGTAATGAAACACCTCTTGCTGACGGGTTGTGGAAGAGTGGAAATTTCTCAGCCAAACTTGCCCACCCATAGTTGCAGATTGCTGTGTACTGTGCACTGCCCAGTATGATTGTCATCTCGGGTTGGAGTATCATCGTGTTAAAGCTTGATGGAAGACATACAATGGATGGTTATGTGACAAGATAATGAGGCCACCATTTTGGCTGCTGTTGGTGGAGGCAAGAGGTGGCCAGTGGGCCTGTGGTCAGGTCACTTTGACCTCACTTAGGCTGACTGAAAAGGCTGCTTTCTCCTTACATCATCATCTCCATCATGATGATGTCATGTGGAACCTATGGTTGGACCAATCGGTTGATGAGCCTAGGCAGAAGCTGCAGTTTGTTTGGCGTTTCTATACAGAGGTGCAGTGAAACGAACTAGTAAGGTGCAGACCTTGGAGCGACCGGGCCGCTCCAAGCAACAGCCTAGTGGACCAAACTCTCACAAGTCAAGCCTGGCCTCGGGCTGGGCTTGGGGAGTAGAAGAACTCCCAGAACCCCATCAACCAGGACCATTATCAAGTTGTGTGATAGAAGAGAGACCTTACCCATTGGTAGCAATTATGATTAACTTTAAATGTAAAATGTTCAAAACCATCGCTCCCTGCGTCTCTCTGAGGAGGCCAGGTTCTGGCTCGTGGTCCCGTTGGCCAATAGAACTCTGTGACTGATGGCACTTTGTAGTACGTATAGGACTAATCAGTGTATGATAACTTAAGGGAGCCTCTGGAGCTCATCCAGAAATTTGTGTTTCATTACATTCAATGCTGGGTTATTTTGGGATTGCATTGTATTGTAATTGATTAGGAAACAGAGTACTGTACTCGAGTTAAATGTTCAGAGGAAACACAATAGGAAATGGGTGTTAAAACTGAACAAAAAATAACCTTCTACATTAGAAAGATTTTACTAGAATCATCCTGCTATAGCAAGTATATTACTTGGATTAAGAATGTTAAAGCCCCATTTTCTGTTGGTCCACTGACACATTCACTGCACTTAATAGCAGTCATCATAGTGTCATTATTTCTCTTCTATAATACTTCTATAATACAGTTCTGTGTTCCCAATTAATATATTTGTATTTTTTACCTGTTTAATTTTTTTGCAGTGATGCAATATCTTGAGTATCCATTCTTCAGGTAACACAAACTCTAAACTGGCTGGTTCGTATGTCTTCTGATGTGGAGATCAACATAGTAGCTGTAGAACGCATCAAAGAATATACAGAAACTCCACAGGAGGCACCATGGGACATACCCAGTAATAAGCCTCACAAGGTAAGAGATAATGCAGTATTCATTGAAGTCAAACATTCACAGTATAGCTAAAGAATTTTAATATATTTCTGGGAATGCCCCCTCAATAGCTCCAGCAGCCCCCAAGCACAAAGCCATAGGGATACACAGTAGGTCCCCAAGACCCACTTTTGCTTACTGGAAATGACGACCAGAATCTGGCATGCTCTACGTGAGGATTAGAAATATCCCACCAGAGTACACAAGTGCAATAAAATAAGCCACTGCTTGGAGAAAATTGGATACCCATAGATAACAAGGCAAACATTTGTTGCTGAGGGATAAATTGTAATAGGTGTGCGACTTGTAGGCTCAAGTAGTTCTTAGAGACCTGGCACAATTTTCCAAGGCTTAGCGGCTCCAGTGGTATACAGCAGCTACAGGGAGCTAATGAGGGGGAGGCCCTTTCTGAAAATGATTCATGATAGCAATTTGGACCATATCTGTTCCAAATTTAGAATATCATCTTAAATTCAATCAATATATATCTGTACTGAGGAAGTTTTTTGTATTTTAGTTGCAAAATACTTGCAATATACATATTTTTTCTTGGATGGCCCCCTCATAGTGGCTCCTCAGAGCATATGCACTTGTGCCCCTGGGCCAGTACAATCTTAGCAGGCATCTAAGATTTTTATGACCTACCAGGAGCAGAGATCGGAATCTTATACCCCTCACAATGGGAGACAGGATATATATATATATATATATATATATATATATATATATATATATATATATATATATATATATATATATATATATATATATATATATATATATATATATATATCTATCTATACATATATATATATATATATAATATCTATCTACCTGTATATTAGATTTATTGGTATAAAACCCAGATAATAATAAGTTTAAATCATTGTATGATAATTACCACATACCTTGTGAATCAATGTATCATGATAACCACAATTCAGAGCCTAACAAAGATTGTCCACAAGCAGACAGACTGTCTTAGCAGTCTGTTAACAGAGAGAACAAAGAACTGTGCTTTCTTTGACACAGACAATGCCTTCCTAGGGTGGCTTCATCTTGAGTCTTTCCCTATCTAAGGGAGTGACATAATTAGAAGGAATTTAGTAGTGTACTTGGGGACCTCCCTGTTTGGGTGTGGTATCTAGTGTCTGGCAGAAATAAAGTCAAATCAAATATTTATCCAGGTAAATGTACATACATAGATGAGTTACAAATATAATGTTGGATTTATAGATAGAGCAAGTACATACAATACCTAAAGCCACTAATACACACAGTGTTTCGGGTAAGGTGTGGGGAAAAAACACTTAGACTAAAACTTAATACTAATTGAGATTAAAAATTGTGTTGAAAAAGGAAAAAAAGTAATGGGGGGGGGGGGGAACATGGCAGAAAACAGCAATTATACAAGTTAGTCAACAAACAGTATTGTTTGAAAATAGTAAGATATGGGTTGACATTTAGGGTAAGGTAGGTTACATGGAGCTTATTAGGTAGTACTTAGTTTTTCTTTTAAACTGGTTGAGAGAGGTACAGCCTTTGACATGATTGGGAAGGTCATTCCACATTCTGTGGAATGTGCTGACCGATTAGCCTTTAGCATCTTGGGTTTTTGTTGACACTGCATTGTAGCCTCGAATTTTGATTTGAGTGTTTGGTTATTCATTAGGAAATAGGTCCAGGTGGATTTCCAGTCCCATGTGACATGGGAGTTCATTTTCTGTGCTTAATTAGAGAGCTAGTATTGATTCATTCACCATTAGCCGAGATATGCATGGCTGAAAGTGTTTGTTTTGGTAGTGGCACTATGGTACTGATGTATATTTTGATAATCACTTAGCAAATAGTGTTGGGTCTTGTTAGCCGATTCATCTGCTCCAACACTTGGCTATTGCACATGATGGTCATGTTGGTATGTAATTTCCATCCTGTTCTTTGTGCAGTATTTTTTCTGAACTAAATGGGTCAAGTGGCATTGGACTTCCATTAAGTTTAGAGAAGGATTGTCCTGTAACCCTTGAAAGTTTGACTGATTGCTGAGCCTGCTGTTTCTAGCCTCTGATTTTTCACCGAGACTAAACTCGTGCCGAGTTTTCTAGTTTAGTAAAAGTAAGAGTTTGTGTATTCTTTGAACTTTCAGTTACCTCCACCAGTTCATTCCTAGTGACTAGTTACTTCCACCTAGTTCATTCCACATGGCTTAGAAGGGTAGCTGGTTGCTGTCACTTCTGTCTAGCCCCAGTTTTTTTCTCATGAAAGTTCTGAGAACTTTCTAGTCCTGTGCATTTAGTAGTTTTTCTCTGGATTTTATGGGTTGAGTGTTGGTGCAGCAGCTCCTCTGTTCTGAACTGCCCTAGGTGCTCTATATGGCTTTAAAGTGTGTGTCCAGTAAATGTCACCACCACCTGGGTTTTTCCACTTGCTAGTTGTACAAGTGTAGATTACTATTCTTATCCATAACGGGGAGGAGGAAGAGGGAATATGATCACTTCATAAAAAATTTGGATGGGAATAGATATTGTGGACAACAATAACATCTTTAAATTGATAGACAGTAGGATAAGAGGAGATTAGCATAACCTTTAATGTAAATTTATCCAAGAAATGTCAGGAAATACCCTGTATGTGTGGTCAAAAATGAAATGCACTGTAAAAAAAATTGTGGTAACTAACTTAAATGGACCGATTTTCTCTGAAATGCAGAAAATACTTTGGTAGAAGAGAAACCTAAAGTGGGGTTTGGGATTACTACTGCTTCTCCAAGCCTAGCCTGGGACCAGGCTTGACTTGTGGTAGCTTAGACCAACAGACTGTAGCTTGGAGTGGCTTGCAGGCTCCACAAATCCACTACAACCTGGTTGCTCTAGGTAACAGCAAAAAAAAATTTTGTTTAGCTAGGAGTAACCGATGTTACATGTGTGAACCTAATTAAATACCCAATTTGTTTGAAGCAAACTTTGCAATCATTGTAATGTGAGGTTTCCAGAACAAATTACATGTGACTGTGATGCCCAGATATTGATGGAGGATTGAGGTTTGAAATTTGAATTTTGGAAAAAGAGCTGGTGCAGTATTTAGTTGGAGTTAGCTATAATGTAATGACAAAAAGCTGGTTATTAGATTTAAATGTAGCTAAATTCAGTGCCATTGAAAGGAAATAGAGTTTAAGAGAATTAGACTAAAGACCAGAATTTAGTAAGGGTTGTATAGGAAGGAATCAAACTAAAGTTTAAGGAAAATTACTTTCTTTCATTGTGTGCTTTTGGAGCAAGTGCTACGGGTGATATTCTTGCAAATCTATTATATGATGATTGTGTTTGCAGGAGTGGCCTGAAGCAGGAGTTGTAGAATTTAATCAGTATTCTACTCGATACCGTGAGGGGCTTGATTTGGTAGTGAGGAACATCGATTGTAAGATAACAAGAGGAGAAAAGGTAAGTTATGTTCTTTAGTCTAAATTATTTTTGTATTTCTTCCTACCCATGTAAGAGAGAACTTAAGTTGGAATAACATGATCTTGCAATATAAGCAGTACAGTATTGTAATTTTTTATTCTTTAATTTTTAAATATATTTAATTTATCAGATTGGAATTGTTGGAAGAACTGGTGCTGGTAAATCATCGCTGACATTAGCTCTTTTCCGGATCATAGAAGCAGCTGGAGGGAATATCATCATTGACAACATCAACATTTCTAAGATAGGTCTACATGATTTGCGGGGCCGACTTACCATAATTCCTCAGGCAAGTCATGTGCATCTATATCCTTCCATATGCAATATCTTGTCCTGCTATTAAAATGTTTGGCACTTCTGTTAAAACTCTGACCATATTACTAGAGAATTACCAGTGGAGCCCCATTTCGTATTCATACTGTACTCTTGCATTCATATTCTTCATTCGGTTAAGAACTTAGGTAATAAGAATACTGTTACTGAAGGTAAAGAAAAGACCCAATACTTGTGCATGTATTGCCAAATTTTTGGATGAAACCTACATCCTTTATCAAGGTGCTGTAAACAATGTTCTGATAATTACTGAGAATTTGATACATTGCTGGTGCCATTTTGCAAGTTGTCTGATGCATTCATTCACCTTCAGCCAGCTCATCCTCCACCTGAGTCATTTTGATCTCTGGATTGTGTGTTGGCCCATGATACATACATGATAGGTTCTCAAGGCTCTTTTTTTTTTGTCCCTTGTTTCTGGTTACTAGGTGGGGAAGCTTCATGCTGTCTTCTGGAAGGGTGCTTTTGTTTTTTCAGCCCTAGTAAACATACATTTGCAGTCTTCCTCTCTTTTGGGGAAAAATTAGATGGTTGGCTTCCAGAGAAGACTTTTGGTTGTTGATTCTTTGTTTATCTGGCTAGGGGGAGTATCATTTGTTGTCTGGTTGCAGCTGTTACCACTTGCATACCACACGCACTGCTTCATTGGATGCGTTTATTGATCCGGTTTTATTGATCCCCTGTTCCAAGGCTTGTCAGTATTGTTATGCCTAGCCAACTTGCTATCTACCCTCAGACCCATGATATTCGCATGTTTGCAACTTTGACAGCTGTTGTTTCCAAAATGTTGTAGGCTGCTATTTGGGCTTGGGTTTTGGAGGTCTTCTAGGGGTCCTGGCAGCTTGTTACCTTGTTAGTGTTCCTGGTCCATGCTAAGTTTGTGTTGCCCTGGGTTGGGTTCTCATTTTTTCTTTGTACTGTGGTTAGTTAGCTTCAGGGAGCCACCATTCATCTTTAGAAAGCCAGTGTTGTATGTAATGAAATGCCTCTTTTGTGGTTAGGCCTTGGTTGCTCCCTGGTCACTCCTTCCCACCTTTCTGGATTGTCAGTAGGTGGCTTTTCCACTCTGGACTGAGCTCTTATTTATAGTGAGAGCAAGTGCTGTTGGTGGTGTTGCCAACTTATAGTGGCTAACTGTAATTAGTTGGTCCTACCTAACTGCTGTGTAGATCATTTGCAGTCATTTGCTGCTTCATTTCTTTACTGTGAACATTGCTGTTGTCCATTTTTCTTTGCTTTCTTTCTCGATATTTCCTTGATGATGGTGATCGTAACAATCCTCTGCTCCCTGTGTCTAGGCAATAGATTACTAGATCTAATGCATCTTGTGTGTGTTTGTGTGGAGCTACCTCGGCAAGCTAGCTTCAAGGAGCCACCAAAACCCAACCAGAAAAAGGAGTTTCATTACATTCAACATCGGCTTTTTCATTCCTGACCAATGAAGGTGGAAAATGGTACTAATCATGATTTAGTTGATAATTCATTGCTCATCTTTTTAGATAATATTAATTGTACAGTATTAGTATTAATAAAGCAGGGTATCAGGATATAGAATTCTATAGATGTTTCCTTTATTAGGATCCTGTGCTGTTTAGTGGTACACTGCGCATGAACCTTGATCCCTTCAGTAAATATGATGATAGCAAGGTATGGTCAGCACTGGAGCAGTCTCATCTCAAGGAATTTGTATCTGGTCTACCAAACGGTCTTCAATATGAAGTGTCAGAAGGTGGAGAAAACCTCAGGTAAGAATATCTTGCTAATTCCATAAACATTAAAATAGTTTCTTTGGATCTTTGTGTTATCTATGTATGATTAGTAATGACTTTGACTAGATCAAATGCATTGTTTTGTTTAGGGGTTTCGCTCGATTTTCAGATATTAATGTCATAATATTTGCCTTGTCTAATACCAACTGAAACCCATCATTACCCATCAGCTATCAAACCATAACAACCTGTTTTCAGACAACATACTATACAACACCATTGGACAGGGTCTTGGTAGTATACTTACGTTCATTCTTTACTCTCAGTCAGGAATCCTGGGGTTGAATCTTGGGCAGGACAGAAAGGGCAAGAAAAAATAGTTAAAACCAAATAGGTAGAACACATGTAGAGAAATGATGTAATAACAGACATCATTGTTTTCGAACAGGTACTGTGTAATAAATGTACTTAGTTTTTATAATAATAATAATAATATAATATATAATAGTTTATTTAGCAAAATTACATACTACTTACAAAATGAGTTACAAGCAGAATGTTGGATTTCCAGGTAAAAATATGTCAATAGGTAATTAATTAAAACAAATAATAGAAGGAATGAAGGATCTGTAGAGGCTAACATAAATACTGGAGTAGGATCAAATACTGGAGGACCTGCTAAGAAAGCCAATTTTTCACTTGATGACACCTTTGGCATGGGCTTTTCTGGCCTGTACACTTAGTTATTTTTCTCTGGATTTTGTTGGTGAAATGGTGGTGAACCACCGCCTTATTGCAGAGTCATCCTAGGCTCAATATGACTTGACAGGGTGTTTGGTAATTGACACTGCTCTAAGGTAACTGTTTGTAACTGGTTGATCAGTCCAGCAACCAGGACGCCTGGTCATGGATCAGGCCGCATGGACGTTGAGCCCTGAAATCATCACGAGGTAAGGTGGAAATTTGTCCTTTACAAGTGGTACTTGTTTTCTGAGCTAATGATTGACAGCTCCTAAAGTGGCATTTCATTACTTTCAAAACACTATATTACGATATCATTATGATATGGTTGGTTCCTTTTTCTTCAGTGTTGGTCAGAGACAGTTGGTTTGTCTTGCACGAGCACTTTTACGCAAAACACGTGTTCTCATCTTGGATGAGGCGACAGCTGCAGTCGACTTGGAAACCGACAACCTCATTCAGCAAACTATACGACGAGAGTTTGCAGATTGTACTGTGATCACCATTGCCCATAGACTGAATACGATTATGGACTCAACAAGGTAAGAAATAGATAGAATAAGTAATACATCTATTCGTATCTTATTTCTTTTGGTAACTCCTCTTTCTTTAGTAGATAGCCTCATGGTGAATCTTCCTTAGACATTTTGGAAGATGTTTAAGTATTAAAAATGTGAAGTACACTAAGCAAAGATATCCACATTGCTAATGTGATTATTCGTACAAGTGAAAGTTATCACTTGATTTCACAAGGGTGTGTGAAAAGAATGAGAATTGTTTGGAAATCATAGAATTTAGAATTGATGAAAGTATTTAAGATTAATAAGCACAAACAAATATAATTTTAGCATAATGTCAATTAGTGTCAAAGAAAGACCCTTCAGTGGTTACTGGAAGTACAGAAGTAGCATCTATTTTCTTTTTCCAATGGTACAGCTGAGGATAGTTTGTTGACTAATAAATACAGAAGTTGCCATATTATGTGCCTCTTATGAATACTTTAAATTTTCTGGGGGAAGTCCCTTCGGCTCCCCAGAGATATCCAGGCTGATATGGATATATTAGACTTTGGCATCAGTCAATGTGAATGGAGTTCTAGGCCTACCGGGGACCACGAGCCAGAACCTGGTTTCCTCAGAGAGGCAAGAGGAGCAAGGACCTATAGAATTGCACATGTGGTTATGGAGCATTCTATGTCTGCCATTGACTGGGTCTGGTACCCAGAAAGGTAAGTGCCCCAAAACAAAGCACTATTCTGGTTGAAGCTACTACTGAAAGTCAAACGAGTGAACAGAACTCCCCAAATGAAAATGAGCAAACGAATATGACGTCACTACGTTGCCACGCCGCTTCACTGCACAATGCCTCCCCACCTCCTCACCTCCCTTCTTCGAGAGGGGGAAGGGGAAGCATCAGACCCTCCCGCAGGCGATCCACCTTGCAGTTCTTTGGCTGATGTGATAGGCAACAGTCATGTGACTCTGGCTCCTGAATTCTGTCCTCCAGCTCTGTGCCTTGTGGTGTTGAGCGGTTCTCTGGTGGTGCACAAACCAGGTGTAATCTCTGGTTTTTTCCTGTAGGCATTGACCTCTGGGGGTCAGGTCGGGGGGCTTCATACTCTCTTCTGGCGCAGGGGTTTCTGCTCGTTTGGTCCAGGTGGTAGGTTTCTTCGGTGCCAGCCGTCTTCTTTTTTTCTTGGGTAGTACGAGTCTGCTGTTTTCAGGTGGTCCTTGGGTTGTTGATGCTTGCTTGGTTAGGCCGGGGATGCATCTTGTGTTGTGTCCGGTTGCGACTCTGTCATTAATTCCGCACCTCGGCTTCTGTGTCCGGGGATGCGCTTTGGATTGCCCTGGTTTCCCTTTCTTTCCTGTTCCTGGGTTTGGGTTTATCCGGGTCATTTGCTGGATCCTTTTGTGCCGTTAGTTATCTAGCTTTCAATTTGAGATGTGCGTAGCGAATGCCTCCCAGGTGCATCACTCTTTTTCCTTATCTTTGGTGAAGTAGCTCAGGGGAGCCAAAGGGGCTCCCCCTAGAAAACCAACGTTGAATGTAATGAAACACCATTTTCTGGGCGAGACCTGGAGGTTTCCCGGCAAACCTCCCTCCCTCTGGTCGTCGTTTTTTTGTGTGTTTTGATATCCAGCCTCAGAACTGCAGGGTGGATCGCCAGGGCGAGGGTCTGGGGCTTCCCCTTCCCCCATCCCCGTCCCGGGAAGGGGAGGTTGCGCAGACAAGCGGCGCAGCGACGTGGTGACATCGTACTTGTTTGCTCATTTTCATTTGGGGAGTTCTATCGACTTGTTTGATTTTCAGTGGTAGTTTCAACCAGAATAGGGGTTTGTTTTGGGGCGCTTACCTTTCTGAGTATCTGACCCGGTCGATGACAGACATAGAATGCTCCATAACCACATGCACAATTTTACAGGCCATTGCTCCTCGTGTCTCATTGAGGGAGGGCTAGGTTCTGGCTCGTGGTTCCAGTAGGCCCATTCACATTGATGCCAAAGTCTAATACTTATATTCATATCAGCCTGGATAGCTCTGGGGAGCCTCTGGGTCTCACCCAGAAAATGGCGTTTCATTCCATTCAACTCTGGTTTTCTCAATGTGGATTTTAGTAGCATATTGACAGGCCTTGGCTATGAGGACAGGTTGATGCAACTCACCCTGATAAGCTTAGAGGAGAGAAGAAACAGAAAGGATATAATCACATTCAAAATCCTGAAGGGAATTGACAGTGTGAACAAGAGAAGTCTACTTAAGTTAAAAGAGGTAGGACAAGGGAACACCAGTGGAAGTTAGACATGCAATTGAGTATTAGAGATGTAAAGAAGGTGGGCGACAAGTGAAATGAATTGAAGGAAGACGTTAAAACCAATTTCATCCACAACTTCAAGAAGAAATATGACAAATGTTAATGTTGAGAGAGGTAATTAGTGCATCAGGTATAAACGGCTAAAAGCGGAGCATAAAAAGCTAGATCTCGTTTTCCTATAGTCACAGGCACAGGGTCAAATGTTGGCTATTCATGTATCCTGATGTTTGTTCATTTTTCTACCTTCCTCTTTTCTACCTTCCTCTGTCTTATTTCCCAACTCCCTCCACCACCCTCCTCACCTCCCATCTCCACCACCCTCCTCACCTCCCATCTCCACCACCCTCCTCACCTCCCACCTCCACCACCATCCTCACCTCCCATCACCACCTACTGTCCTCACCTCTCACCACCACCACCACTGTCCTCACCTCTCACCACCACCACCACTGTCCTCACCTCCCATCTCCACCACTGTCCTCACCTCCCACCACCACCACCACCACTGTCCTCACCTCTCACCACCACCACCACCACTGTCCTCACCTCCCATCACCACCACCACCACCACCACCACGTCCTCACCTCCCACCACCACCACCACCACTGTCCTCACCTCTCACCACCACCACTCCTCACCTCCCTCCACCACCACTCCTCACCTCCCTCCACCACCACTCCTCACCTTCCACCACCACCACCGTCCTCACCTCCCTCCACCACCACTCCTCACCTTCCACCACCACCACCGTCCTCACCTCCCTCCACCACCACTCCTCACCTTCCACCACCACCACCGTCCTCACCTCCCTCCACAGTCCCCACCTCCCTCGGCCACGTTTTTGCTACTGTCCCCACCGTCCTCTATGGCTACAGGATGACATCATTAACTCTTATGTTCACTTCAGTAACACTGGTCAACAGTTTTTCAAAAGTTGTCCGCTCCCAAGATGAAAAGTGCTGATTATCATGCATTTTAATGTGTTCAATAAATATAATGATTAAAATTGCTGATTAGCTATTGTTTTATGGGTAAGGATGGTAACAAAATCTTGCTTGATTCAACAAGTGGATGCTGAACATTTTTCTTCATAGTGGGAATCTCTTGCCATACTAACCCACTCACAAATAAAACAGCAGTACTGTGTGTATCTTTGCTGCTGACCCATTACAAGAACAACAACCTTCAAGTCTTCACAGAGTTACTACTGATGCTGGTCATCGTGTATACACCTCAAAAGCTGCTTCGTGTTGTCATAAGTTTCCTTTTATATGGGATGCATAATCCAATGAAATTGATAGCAAAACACTCCTTTATGCAGCAAAATAGCTTTGAGACTTATCTTGTATGGAAGCTAGAGCTAATCAACAATTTAAACATTTCCATTCTCAGTAACCCAGAATTAGTCAAGATTGACCTCATTTGTTTCAGAAGCATTTTGGTTGTAGACCAGTGTAATCAAGCAGTCACTGAAATTATAATCTTCACCTGTTGATCCCTGCTACTGTCTAGTATAACTCACAGAAATACTTTACACATACCTGTAGTTATGTAAAGCAGTGAAGCTGTGCCTTGGATTTATTTGGTGAAGAATTATGGGGCTGAAGCTGTGTATATTGTATGGAAAATAATGTGTATGGATGGATTGCATTTTGAGCATCTTTTTCCTTTCTCCTTCACTACTGTTTGTCTGGCTTATGCCTCCACACTACATGAAAGTGGAAAATGATGCATTGGAGATGATGATTGATGATGATGATTTATTTTAATAATTTGAATATTATTTCTTCTCCGTAGGATTCTCATACTGGATAAAGGAGAGATCAAGGAATTAGGCACCCCAGCAGCCCTCCTTAATAAGAAGAATTCACTATTCTATTGTTTGGCAAAGGATGCTGGCATTATTTGATAACTTTTACATGATAAATGCATAAATTTAGTGTTCATCATTGTACTGGATATGTACAGTAATGTGATATTTGTACATGTCATAAAAATTAAGGTGTGATTTTATAATTGAATGATGTATTAATTAATTTACACTTTTACTGCATTGAATTTTAATGAGGCCTGATTTTTTTATATATAATAAAAAACATGTCTTCAACATTAATTTGACTTCATTATGGTTGGAGAATTAAAAAAATTGTGTTCACTCTTTAATGAAAGTTAACACTTTTGCGCTCGGGCAAGCAAGCACCCGACCACCCCAAGGTGGGCCGGGTATTCCATGGGAGCGCACAGTTTTCAATTTTGGTTTTCACTCTTTTCAATTTCGTCACGTCAATTCTCATCCTAGGTTTTTCATTTTGGTATCAATGTGTTTGCAATAAAATTCCCTACAGGAATATATGCATATAGTCCAAAAGCAAGGCATATCATCTGCACCAAACTGAGAAATTGGCAGCGCATTACCCATGAGTGCACAAGAGTAATAACATGTGTATACACTCTTTTTTTCACTTTGGTCACCTCAATTCTTGTCCTAGGTCTTTCATTTTGGTATCTATGTGTTCGCAATAAAATTCCCTACAGGAGTATATGCATATAATGTCTAAAACCATGGAGCACCCTTCCCGCAGCCAAGCCAAAAGCAGGCCGAGCTTTTTTTATTTTTGACACACCGATGCGTCATTCCCACACATTCGTCTAATAATTTTTTTGACGTCATGCTGTGTCGTGCCCAGGAGAAAGCGTTTAATACTCTCATGGATAGAATATGTGGCTATACACATGATTTTATTCATTTCACATGGGAAAAGCTGTACAGAAAATAAATGGGAATGAAAAAAATATTACTGTACATGGCAATTACCCAGAACACCTTTTTTAATTTAGCACTACCAGTACTGATGTGTACACTTCTTCTGGCAGGTACCCCTTAGTAGCTCTTTGTACCTAAGGCTGGTACCTGTGGTACCAGCCTTAGCCCCAAACATCCAGCCTTTGAGATCTGTCCATCACTTTCCCGAAGCCAGGAAGTCGTCTTCAGGATGGGGTCTCGGTCTTTGTTTCTATTTCCCACATCCTCCTGTTTTGTTGTCTTCTTCTGCTGCAGCTATGGTTATCATTCCCAGGGTGTTTGCACTGCTCCAATGAGTCATGGCTTCAAATGTTTTTTGGACCATTGTGCCTGCAGGCTCTCCTTTCCTTGGAGGTGAGTATATCGAAGGTTTTGGTGGTGGCTGCTGCATTTATTCAGCACTTCAATGGATGTTTGGGTGCAATGGCAGTCCCAATTCCAGCTTTTAAGTCTACCAACTCTGCAAAAATGATCGTTTGTCAAGGGGGGTGCCTAAGTTCCTTCAAGCAGTTGCTTGTTCTGTTGTGCCTATACTTTCTGTTTTTGTTTTTTCTAGTTTTGTGGTTGGTCTACAACCTCCTGCTTAGCTTGCCTCAGAGAGAGAGAGAGAGATAGTTTCTGGTCCTGGCTGCTGGTTGGCATCAGATGGGCATTTCATACATTTTAAATTTTATTTTATTTTAGAGGCACTTTTCTGGGGGAAGACCTTTCGGCTCCCCGGAGCTATCCAGGCTGATATGTATATCATTAGACTTTGGCATCAGTCAGTGTGAATGGAATACTAGGCCTGCTGGAGACCACGAGCCAGAGCCTTACCCCCCCCCCCCTCAGAGAGGCACGAGGAGCAATGGCCTATAGAAATGCACATGGGATTAGGAGCATTTTATGTCTGCCATCGACCTGGCCAGGCACCCAGAAAGGTAAACACCTCAAAACAAACCCCTATTCTGGTTAAAACAGCTAAGAAGACTAACGAGTGAACAGAACTCCTTGATTGAAAACAAGTAAATGAGCATGATGTCACACGTACCGCGTCGCATGTCTGCGCAGCTCCCACCTCCTCAGGAGGGGAAAGGGGGAGTCCCAGACCCACCGAGCCGGCGATCCATCCTCTAGTTCTCGGCTGATGTGATTGTGGCTCAACTCCAGATTCTCTGTGTTGTGCTGGACCTTGCATCCAGTACTGCTCTTATGGTGGCGTGAGAGCTGGGAGAAATATTCACAGGTACTCGAGCTGCATGTTCTTAGGGTTCCCTTCCCTGAGTGCCCTGTATGTACTGCCTTTGGGGCTTGGGGTTATCTTCCACAAGTCACCTTGGGGTGTACCTCTGTTGGTCTTTTGCTGCTTGATGATTGACCACCTCCAAGTGTGTTGGAGTTTCCTTTCCGGGTTCAGGTTCCTGGTACCCTAACGGTCATTCCATCTGGTTCCCTGACGGCCTTGGTTTCAGGCACTGCTTGCTCAGTGTCCATACCCTGGGGTTTATCCCATAGCTCCGCCTCTTTCTGATGCTCAGTCCGGTCCGTTACTGGGCTGATTCAGTCTTCTCAAGTTTTCGCATCTGTTACTTCTGACTCAAGTCTATCACCATCTGTTTGGTGATCAGGTGGCTTCGTTGATGTCCCACCTGCGTGCTTCGTCTCGGTGGCGGTATGGGGTTCCTGGCGGTCCTTCCTTTTTCTTTTTGTCTCTTTGTAGGTATCCTTTGCTTTTTGTTGAAGTGGTCTTGTCCTTCTCTCATGGAGGTTCAGGACTGTCATCTTGCCGCATACTGTCGCCTTGTCTCATGCGGCGCTGGCGGAGCTGTTACAGTTTGCTTTCGGTTTTGATGTTCCTTCTGCATCATTTCACGGGCTGTCTTGGGCATTGTTTCACCTCCAGCCTGCTCTTGCGCCGCCTGAGCCATCCTGGTCTTGGACAGGGTGCTTTTTTTCTCTCTTCCCCTCGGTTTGTCATGGGCCCTTTCGTTTCAGGTTGTTTTACAGTGGTTTCTTCTCCTTTGGGTTCTGGTGATCGGTTTGTTCGTTTGCAACCATCTCTTCTTTTCTGGTGAAGTTAGGATGGCTGTTTTCCGGAGGGGTCCCTGGGGTTGTTGTTGCTTAGATGGTTGGCGGGGGGTGCATCTTCTTGGGTCTGGTTGTGGCTCTCAGCCGTTGCCTTCGTGCCGTGGCCTCTGTGGCCCTGGACGCGCTTTGGGTTGACTCGGTTCTCTTCATCCCTGTTCCAGAGTTTGGGACTCCCAGGTCGTCTGCGGGGTCCTTTGGTGTTGCCAGTTGTTTTGTTTTCTTGTTCGGGTGCGTGGTTTCCACCTCCCGGGTTTGTCCCTCATTTGTCCTTGGCTTTGGGTAGTTAGCCCAGAAAAACCAGTGTTGAATGTAATGAAATGCCATTTTCTGGGTGAGACCCAGAGGCTCCCTGGCAACCCTTCCTCCCCCTGGTCAGCAGTTTTTCGCTGGTTTTGACATCCAGCTTCGAACTGGAGGATGGATAGCTGGCTCGGTGGGTCTAGGGTTCCCCCTTCCCCCTCCCGGGAAGGGGGGAGCTGTGCAGACATAAGGCATGGCACGTGTGACGTCATGCTCATTTGCTCGTTTTCAATTGGGGAGTTCTGTCCATTCGTTAGTCTTCTTTAGTTGTTTTAACCAGAATAGGGGTTTGTTTTGAGGTGCTTACCTTTCTGGGTGCCTGGCCCGGTCAATGGCAGACATAGAATGCTCCTAATCCCATGTGCATTTCTATAGGCCACTGCTCCTCATGCCTCTCTGAGGGGGGGGTAAGGCTCTGGCTCGTGGTCCCCGGTAGGCAGGTCTCCCAACATAGGCTTAGAACTCCATTCACACTGACTGATGCCAAAGTCTAAAGATATACATATCAGCCTGGATAGCTCCAGGGAGCCTCCGGGTTTCACCCAGAAAATGGCGTTTCATTACATTCAATATGTTTTTTTTTTTTAAGGTAAAATGTCTAAAAGAAAAGCTCTGTACAGTTAAGTAATTCAGAGCTGGTCATACAAATTAAATAGCATTTAATTCATGGCTGGTAACTATAGGAAAACTATAGGAAAGGTGATTGTGAGGTGCTTAGGTATTTTCAATATTTTATTTATAGACGTATAAGCTTGTTATATGCAGCTATAAAATATAAATGCATATGACCAGTTTAAATTAATTAAGGAGAAGAAATTGAAGTAATATTGTGCTATAATTTCATAAGACAGACATGTGTGGAATAATCTGAGGGCTGATTTCTATGAATTTCTGTTTTTAATTACATAATCTTAGATTTACTAGTCATAACAAAACAAAGGAGCATTGTATTGATGCCAAGAATTGGCAGGTATCTCAATCTTATAGACATGCTAGAAATATTGATGTCAAATAGGCTAGACAGACTATCATGTTGGACAGGCTGCAGACTGTCAGACTGGAGAAACAATGTTTGACAGACAGATGATGATCACACATTTTCCTGTTCAATTCCTTTCCTCTCATCCCATTCCCATCTAACCCCATTATAAGTGTTAATACCTACTGTGGGAAGGTGTAACATCATATGCTTTAAATTGTGTCAAAACCCACTATATTTTCTTGTAAATACTTGAATGAATTGTTAGCCAAACAAATACCAATATCATGTCCTGTTATTTACATTTCCTCACACCAGTAAGCATGTCCCACATCACCTGCAAGCCTCCCCTGTTAGGTTAACGAGTGCCTGTGGACCTGTGCCAGTATGTCCATCTCTGTAGTTCACTGAGAATGTGCAAGACCCACCACTTTCCAAGTGACACTATTCCCTCACACTCCCACTCCTATTCCCTCACATTCCCAACATGCCTACGTCCACACCCTGACACCCATATGCAGGCATCCATCCATACCCACACCCACATGCAAATACCAACACTTTCTCTTGTTCCAACTGTTTGCCAATCGTTTGTTTCAAAATGCCAATCTGCAAAAGTTAAGTGAGGTGGTGGTGGAGGCCAAAACTGTCAGTAGTTTCAAAATGTTATATGACAGAGTACTGGGAAGACTGGACACAACGAGCGTAGCTCTCATCTTGTAACTACACTTAGGTAATTACACACACATTGGCAGCAAGCCCATAGGAGTTGCCGAGCTGGTACCTTGCCACTCACTCATTGCCATCAACTTATGACTGATGACTGTGGTTGATGGCAGTATTGGTATCACCCTCTCACTAAAATAATAAACAACTAACAAATGTCATAACAAAAAAGTAACCTAACCAAAAGTAGGTTATGTTATTTTCAATATATTTATAACTGATCTTTGATCATTTTAATTAAAACTAGACAATAATAGAGATTTCATGCTGTGCTACATCTGGCATCATTTTTCCACGAGCCACCACTGTGTGAGCCTGCCCCCCCCCCCCCCCCCCCTCTTCCTTACACCTACACACACTCAAAGCCCCCCCCCCCCCTCCCCAAGGTCTGGTAGCTGAGTGAACAGCGTGCGGGACTCATAATCCTGTGGCCCGGGTTTGATTCCCGGCGCCGGCAGAGACAAATAGGCAGAGTTTCTTTCACCCTGATGCCCCTGTTACCTAGCAGTAAATAGGTACCTGGGAGTTAGACACCTGTTATTGGGTGTTTCCTGTGTGTGTGTGTGTGTGTGTGTGTGTGTGTGTGTGTGTGAAAAAAATTAGTAGTTAGTAACAGTTGATCCATTGACCAGTTAAGAGGTGGACTGAAAGAGCAGAGCTCAACCCCTGCAAGCACAACTAGGTGAATACACACACACACTCACTCTCACTATCTCTCACTGTCACACACTCCAAAAACACATTACTGTACCAGAAAAGTGCAAAGATGTGCAACAAAATTGCATCAGAACCTGAAAGACAAGAGCTACGAGAAGAGGCTAATGGTGTTAATAAGCCAAAGCTAAAAGCCCGAAGAAAGAGGCGATATATAAAAAATTGGTGGGGAATATATAAATATTCCTCACTATATATAAATTGTAACAGGAATTGACAAAATTATAAGGAAGAATTCTTGAAACCTGGAACTTTAAGAACAAAAAGTCATAGATCTAAGCCATGGAAACAAAGCTGCCAAGAACCCTTACTAAGTTCACTTTTGTAAACCGGGTGGTAGGCAATTAGAACAAGTGAGAAGGTGATGGATGCCAAAACTATCAGTAGTTTCAAAGTGCCATATTACACAGGTATTTAAATAACACTTGCACGGGTTATTTTCACCTCATCCATACACATGCCAATCACTATAAATCGTCCCCATTACCCCACCTATACAACAGCAATCATATACCTACCCACCAGTCTGCTCACAATTGATTGGTCCTGGGCAGATTGACATTTGAGTGCATTTCCTTACAAATGATGTCTTTAAGAGTTAGTCAAATGTTGTGTATTGTATCCTTGAGAAGGTCAGTCAGTAGCTAGGGGACTTCAATAAATCTAACAGGTTTCTTGTCCCCAACAATAGGAAATAAAGCCACTTATACACTTCCACCTACCCATCTATATCCAATCACCACACTAGCAAAAATCATAATACCCACACTTCTCCCACCTACATTACTCTCCCA